GAAGTATTTAAGTGGGTGAAAGGAATCAATAAAGGGGATATAGATAAAGTTCTTATAATATCCGAGCAGGATAGGACTCGGAGCAACGGATTCAAGTTGGTTAAGTTTAGGTTTAGGAGGGAGATAGGAAGGAACTGGTTCACAAATAGGGTGGTGGACGAGTGGAACAAGCTTAGCAACTTTGTAGTAAGTGCTGGAACGCTGGAAAGTTTTAAAAGGAGGCTAGATAGATTCATGGATGATAGAGAGTGGTAGTAACTCTCGACAGGAGCTGCCATGCACAGGCCAACCGGCCAATTGCAGACTCCTTATTTTCTTATGTTCTTATGTATACACGTGGGGTTTTTAGGGGCGTCCAGCCATGTTAAGAGGTACTCATGTTGTGCAAACTGACGCGCCATTGTGAACCCCGTGATAATTTTGACACCTGAGTCCTGGACCTTGGCGACCTTTGACCCTGTCTGTGTGCCTGCCTGCCAAGTACACGATTTTTGGTATCCTTGGAAATGCTGTGGCAAGGCTAGGATTGGTTAGGTTAGGTTCCTGTCCAAATTCCCACTATCTGCCGCGTACTAGTTGACGTCACATGCCCTCCACGCCCATATTCCTGACGTCATACCCTCATCTTCCTTGCGTCACACACCCACAATACGAAATTTTATGACTCTACAGCCGTATTTTGAACGATTCCTGCGATTATTTTATCTCCAATCAAATTCCCGGAATATTAAGAAATGGCGCGTGTGTTGTTGTTGTGAATAGCAGTAGCGTCTTCCATTGGTTGAGAGATTCGCTTGAGACTGTTAATTATGTGGTTTTGTTTTGTAAATATGGATTAATTAATATATATATCCCCCTAACGTAACCTAGTCATATTAAGATCCCTCCACCCCCCCCCCCCTTAGAATTGGGGCCCGTTAGGACTCTGGGGCCCTCCACTCACCTTCAAGAATCCGGACTGTGTTTACGAACGCTTGATGTAACGTCACTAGAGTCAGCTGAGAGACGGGTCATAACCATAAAAGAGAGAATAATAGAAAAACATGAGATGAAATTTGTGTTTCTCTTTGATGCACTGAGTAAATATTTCTTGGGATTGTTTTTTCTTTGTGATTATAAAAGAAAAAAGTGAGAGAAGGGAACACACACACACCTCCAAACTACAGCTGCCCTACTCACCCGTTCCCAAGACTACAGCTGCCCTGCCCACCCGTTTCCAAGACTACAGCTGCCCTACCTACTCCTTCCACGAGGCTACATGTAATCTTCAAGGCTACAGGACCAGCAGAAGATGATAAGGATACAGGAGGAATTAATGTCGAGGGATGTACACTGTATCTGGCGGTGCATAGAGAGCATAGTCATCCCTGGGTTGTAAACATGTGACGTCATGGGTATATACAACAACACTGCTTCAGCCTACCCCCCACCCCCCCACCCCCACCCCCCCTCTTTTCTGGTCTTCCTCCTCCTTCTCTCCACCTCTCTCCCCTTCTCTTTCCCACTCTCTACCTATCCCTCCAGCCACTCCCTCTACTCCTCTCCCTACTCCCCCTCCACACCCCTCTTCTCTCCACCTCTCCCTCCACCTTTAATACCAACCTCGTCAGGAACTATAGAGTCTAGTGTCGTTATATTCAATGGGAAATTTTGTCGTACGATCTTTTGAGAATCTGAACGAAAGCTTGAGGGAAAATCAGGTCGTTTATGTGACACCTTGGCACAGAAAGATAAGATGGAGGACTTTGTTGTGTATTGTGTAGGAGTTGAAAGTTGACATTTGGTACACCTAAATGATGTACACAGATTTAGGTTGATATCATGTCTAACTAAACTGATGTGTTTTTGCTCGTAACAAGGCTAATAAAGTACTTGGGTTCATACAAAGGAGTGTTAGTTACAAGACTAGCGAGGTCATCCTAAAACTGTATCTTGCTCTTGTGAGACCACACCTGGATTACGCAGTTCAGTTCTGGTCACCGTATTACAGAATGGATATAGAATCATTGGAAAGAATTCAGAGGAGAATGACAAGACTAATCCGGGCATTAGGAACCTTGAGTACAGAGACAGGTTAAAGCATCTTAATTTGCACTCCCTCGAGAGAGCGAGGGGCGACCTGATAGAGGTGTATAAGTGGAAGGCAGGGCTAAACAAAGGGGACATTACAAAGGTACTCAAATTATCCAACCAGGAGCGAACTCGTAACAATGGTTTTAAATTAGACAAATTTAGTTTTAGGCGTAAAATAGGTAAACACTGGTTTGGAAACAGAGTAGTGGATGAATGGAACAAGTTACCAAATATCATCATTAACTCGAATACGCTGAATTGCTTCAAACATAGGTTGGATGCTCATATGAGCAATAGGGGTTGGGTGTAAACGGGACTGCCCAGTATGGGCCAATAGGCCCGCTGCAGTTTCCTCCATTCTTCTTATGTTCTTATATATTTAGGTAAATACTGTGTACACCTAAACTGATGTACACACAGATTTAAGTCGATATATTGTACATCTGAAAAGCAAAAAAAATTCAGTCGTAACACTGCCACTCTGTACACACACACACACACACACACACACACGCTCGGACGTGGTGGGTCCGTGTGTTTGTGTTTCCTATTACTGTAGAGTCTTAGAACTGTACACCACCACCACCACCTCCTTTACTCTCTCTCTCTCTTCCTCACTCCCCCGGCCTCCTTGTTTCTCTTCGTCCTCCTTTTTGCTCTCTCCCTCTTCCGTACTGTTTCTTTTTCCTTCTACTCTCTCTTTTCACCTCCCTCATTCTCTTTCTCCTCCCCTCTCCCCCTTACTTCTCTCCATCATAGTATCTCTCTCTTTCTGTCATAACATAAGAATGGAGGAAACTGCAGTGATCCATCTGGGCAGTCCCGTTTACACCCAACCCCTATTGCTCATATATCCACCCAACCTATGTTTGAAGCTATCCAGCGTATTCGAGTTAATGATGATATTTGGTAACTTGTTCCATTCATCCACTACTCTGTTTCCAAACCAGTGTTTACCTATTTCACGCCTAAATCTAAATTTGTCTAATTTAAAATCATTGTTACGAGTTCGCTCCTGGTTGGATAGTTTGAGTACCTTTGTAATGTCCCCTTTGTTTAACCCTGACTTCCATTTATACACCTCTATCATATCGCCCCTCACTCTACGTCTCTTTGTCCAAATTACCCATTATTGTCATGGTAACGACTCAGAGAAACTCAAAATAATAATAACAACAACAATAATAATAATAATCACCTGAAGAATCTCCCTCCTTACGCCAATTATATAAGAATATAAGATAAATATGAAGTACAACAAACAGAAGACCAAAATATACACACTACAGCAAAATACAAAATGCTGATTATTTAGAATTTTAAAAAGCATCATGTAGGATCTCAGGTCATGTAAGGATGACCTGACCTCACCTGAACTTTGACCTCCCCTGGCATTACTTCGGGTAGAGATGGTGACCTAATTGGCTAGGTGTCGGTACTATTCTTTGATAGGCTTAGTCAGTGGTCAGTCAATTAGGCGCTGAGCCCACTCCACCTGAAGAATCACCACCCCAGCCCACTCCACCTGAAGAATCACCACCCCAGCCCACTCCACCTGATGAATCACCACCCCAGCCCACTCCACCTGAAGAATCACCACCCTAGCCCACTCCACCTGATGAATCACCACCCCAGCCCACTCCACCTGAAGAATCACCCACCCCAGCCCACTCCACCACCTGAAGAATCACCACCCCAGCCCACTCCACCTGAAGAATCACCACCCCAGCCCACTCCACCTGAAGAATCACCACCCCAGCCCACTCCACCTGAAGAATCACCACCCCAGCCCACCCCACCTGAAGAATCACCACCCCAGCCCACTCCACCTGAAGAATCACCACCTCAGCCCACTCCTCCATTACTATATCATCATTAGGCCTACTCTTAAAATTTCCTGATAATTCTGTAATATAATGTAACAATATAAATATCACCATTGTATATTATTATGAAAAACCAATTAATGTATTGATCTGATTCCATTATTTTTCTTAGTTTTATAAATATTTTTGAATTTAATATTTTTATGTCTGTGTGTTTTGTCGAAAATTTAATTGATAATGTATTTTTATTTAATCGTTAAATAGTTGTCAATAATTCCGTGAATATTTTTTAGTTATTAATATTATTTTATTTTAATATTTTTCTTTATATATTAATTAGTGTTATTTAATATACCATAGACCTTTCTTATATATATCAGATCACTGTTTTGAGTTAATTTGTATATTATTGGATTGTTTATTATTATTGTTAATATTATTGTTGTTATTATTATTATTATTGTTATTATTATTATTGTTATTATTATTATTGTTATTATTATTATTATTATTATTAGTTATTATTTTATTATTGTTACTACTGTTATTTTTACCATAACTATTATTAATACTAATACTGATTTTTATTGTATTGTCATGTTTATATTATTATTATGTATTACTGTCAAAACACCTATCTCTATTTTACACGTACACTTTAATACGGTATGTATGTCTGTAGGAGACTTACCTTCTGTACAGGGAAGCACTCATCGTATCTCACGCACACACACACTAGGAGTATTTGATGTTAAACTCCCGACAACTGTGAGGAAACTGCGGGTAGTTAACAGCTGACAAATGTGGTGCTTGGAGTATCAAGTTCCCAGCCTTTATCAGCTTGTGATTGTTGTGCTAAAAGTTGAGGTTTTGGACCCCCTTCCGCTGACAAATACTTCCTTACCCAAAATCAAATATTTCCACCCCACTTTCTGCGGCCGTCCGGGGAAGCGGGCGACGGGTGGGAGGAGCTTCGTAGAGTAAGAGCCGCCTCATGGAATTCTTTCACCAATCACATTTCCTTTGGCTCAGGCGGCTTTGTGATTGGTCATTCAAGTATAGGTAGGTAAGGTGGGAGATAAATGACAAATGCTGTGTAATATATTCCTACACTTTTAACCTGTTGAATCAGAAGCAGCGTGACAGGTGTGGGAGTAGCATCGCCCTGATACACAACAAGGCTCGTGAACATTATCTTGGCGACCTTTAGTGTGTGTTTGTGAAGAAAAAGTTTGTACTCTCCGTCCCCTGACCCAAGACTTAACCGCTAGAGTTGGTCAGCCACTTAAGTTATCTAGTTCCATTACTCGTAGCGACAATGTTAAAGACAGAAAACATAAATAAGGTGCTTACGTCTGAGAGTTGTAATAAGGTGAAGTCAGAGGCCCTACAGCAGCAGCAACACGGGGGGTCGTCTAGAGTGGAGCCTAATGTGGTGCTTGAAGAGCGCGACCTATGGACACGCTTCCAGGCCCTTACCAACGAGATGATCGTCACCAAGTCCGGCAGGTGAGTCACTACAGAAACTAAACCTTATACTGTGTGATGACTATTATGTGGTGATGACTTCCTGCGTCGTGACTGTACTTCCATGTGATGACTTTACTCTGTGATGACTGTACTCTGTGTGATGACTGACCGTAGTCTATGTGATAACTACTCCATCTTATGTGATAAATGTACTCTCATAAGATGACTGTATTCCTATGATAACTTCCTCTGTAATGACTGTATTCCCTCAAAGACTGTATCGTTAAGTAGCGCTTTAACCTAGATACAGTTAGATCATGTAGATTTCACCGTGCAATGCAGATCGACTTGACTTAGATTACAGCCCAGGTTACAGTAATCCCCAAGTGGTTACAGTGTTTATTACGACGTCCCAAACTGTAATACGTACGATACAAAACATTCATATCTGATCGGTGTTATGGGTACAGAATTCAGCGTTACAGTAGTCATTGTGCAGGTTCGTCTTCATTTTAAAGCGTTTTTATTAATAGTTTGGAATGTGTGTGTGTGTGTGTGTGTCTGTGTCTGTCTGTATGTGAATTTGTAGCTTAAATGAGTGTACATATTTGAATGATTCAGAGTATGTATGTGTTTATGTCTGAATGTGTACGTACGTGTATGTGTTTCTGTATCTGAATGTGTGTACTTATGTGTGTTCTCGTGTATTTGAATATGTTCTATATTCTACAGTCAGGGTGTGTATGTGTTTGAATGTTTATGTATTTGTGTGTGTATTTAGTGTATGTATGTAGTGTATGCGTTTCGGCAGGTCGTCCCCAACACCACGCCACAAAATCACACATTATATGGTCCCCTTTTAACAGCGGCGCTAATATACTGTTAATTTACTTTCATGAGGGACTGATTTAGGTAATGTACTTACCCTGTCCCACTTACACCACTGAGGAGGCTTTAACTGATGAATATGGAACCTTGTGTTTTTGTCAATAAGGTTTCAATCTCCAGTAATCCTCAGCGGCGGCCCTAATCTGCACTCCTCCCTCCCACCCCCCTCCGTCACCCACGTATCATATTGTATCGCACGACGCACCACGACACAGCTCCGAGGAGGGGGAGACCGCTTGCAGTTTTAGATCGAGTGTGGGAGCTCTGTCTGGATGCCAGATCGTAGGTTGGGGTTTGTTTATGCTTTGTTATTGTGGGAATCTCGCTGCGCTCGATTCATCCCCCCCTCTATCTCTCTCAGGCGATGATTCCGATCGCAACCAAACCTGAACGTTGTTATTTGGCGCCGTCTAGTCCTCCTCTGATATCACCACCTCGACTTAATCTGACGTTTTCCTCCCCAATATCTTAGTTTTTCTCCTTCAATACCCCCGCTTACTCAACTACCACCATTGGCTTTGGACAGAGCTCTTAGTGTCAATACTCAGAGATAACACTAACCCCTGCAGGAGGTAAAGATCGATAAAGGGTCAAACCGAAGTCGAGTGTTGATGCAGGAGTCGGGAGGGTGGTGGCAGTGATCGGGATGCGGTGAGGTTTTATAACAAGCCTAATAGTGGCCTCGGGTGAAGGGCTGCAATAAAACGTGTCTTTGTAGTCACCGACGTCTCACCTTGTCTGCTTGCACACTCCTGGCTCCCCCCTTTCCTTCTTCATCTTACCTTCCCCCCTCCCCTCCTATTCCTCCTCCCCCCCTCTTATTCTTCTTCCCCTCCTCCTCCCCTCTTATTCTTCTTCCCCTCCTCCTATCCCTCTTCCTCCTCCTCCTGCCCCTCCCTTCCACCACAATACAAAGTTAGTTCCACAACCTCCTTCTGCAGCGCCTTCCGGAGATTAAAACATACAATAAATCCCCCATGGAACAAATTTACCGCTGACACACTCCAAAGAACTACAATATAATCTAAATAAATTTCCTTATGACCCAGAACATAACTAATTCAGTTCCATGTAGAGAAATAAAAGTAATTAAGGCTAATAATATCAACTAGAGCAGACGGGTATGGACATAACGTAGAAACAGACTTATTTAGGGGTAATGATCAGCTCAGACTTAAAACACAGACTAATGCATTAATGTATTTTGAGAAGATAACAGAGGGCGGTTTTATATCTACAAGTGATAGGAACAGAAGTAATGTTATCAATTGTTTTGTATTTTCTTATTTTTCTGTAAATATATGTGGGTGGTGGAGACATAATGTGGGTGGTGGAGACATAATGTGGGTGGTGGAGACATAATGTGGGTGGTGGAGACATAATGTGGGTGGTGGAGACATAATGTGGGTGGTGGAGACATAATGTGGGTGGTGGAGACATAATGGGTGGTGGAGACATAATGTGGGTGGTGGAGACATAATGTGGGTGGTGGAGACATAATGTGGGTGGTGGAGACATAATGTGGGTGGTGGAGACATAATGTGGGTGGTGGAGACATAATGTGGGTGGTGGAGACATAATGTGGGTGGTGGAGACATAATGTGGGTGGTGGAGACATAATGTGGGTGGTGGAGACATAATGTGGGTGGTGGAGACATAATGTGGGTGGTGGAGACATAATGTGGGTGTGGATGAATTGGTGGAGACATAATGTGGGTGGTGGAGACATAATGTGGGTGGTGGAACATAATGTGGGTGGTGGGTGGTGGAGACATAATGTGGGTGGTATGGGTGGTGGAGACATAATGTGGGTGGTAGAGACACTGTGTGTGGGTGGTGGAGACATAATGTGGTGTGGTGGTGGAGACATAATGTGGGTGGTGGAGACATAATGTGGGTGGTGGAACTACATAATGTGTGGGTGGTGGGAAGAACATAATGTGGTGGTGGAGACACACATAATGTGGGTGGTACATAATGTGTGGGTGGTATATGTGGGTGGTGGAGACATAATGTGGTGGTGGAGACATAATGTGGGTGGTGGAGACATAATGTGGGTGGTGGAGACATAATGTGGGTGGTGGAGACATAATGTGGGTGAGACAGAGACATAATGTGGGTGGTGAGAATATAATGTGGGTGGTGGAGACATAATGTGGGTGGTGGAGACATAATGTGGGTGGTGGAGACATAATGTGGGTGGTGGAGACATAATGTGGGTGGTGGAGACATAATGTGGGTGGTGGGAACATAATGTGTGGTGGAGACCAGAACATAATGGTGGTGGAGACATAATGTGGGTGGTGGAGACATAATGTGGGTGGTGGAGACATAATGTGGGTGGTGGAGACATAATGTGGGTGGTGGAGACATAATGTGGGTGGTGGAGACATAATAAGAACATAAGAAAATAAGGAGTCTGCAATAGGCCGGTTGGCCTGTGCATGGCAGCTCCTGTCGAGAGTTACTACCACTCTCTATCATCCATGAATCTATCTAGCCTCCCTTCAAAACTTTCCAGCGTTCCATCACTTACTACAAAGTTGCTAAGCTTGTTCCACTCCTCCACCACCCTATTTGTGAACCAGTTCCTCCTATCTCCCTCCTAAACCTAAACTTATCCAACTTAAATCCGTTGCTCCGAGTCCTATCCTGCTCGGATATTATAAGAATTTTATCTATATCCCCTTTATTGTTTTCTTTCACCCACTTAAATACTTCTATCATATCTCCCCACACTCTTTGTCTCTCTAGGGCAGGGGTTCTCAACCAGGGGGGAATTTCCCCCCTCAGGTTTTCAGGGGGGGGGGAAACTGATACTAATATGGAAAAAATAAAGGATTTTCAGTATTATATGCATATTATTTGGAATGCACTTTTTGAGGCAGACAATCTTGGAAAGGAGCGGGGAATGACATTCTGACATATGGTGAAAGGGGTGCATGGGGCAAACAAGGTTGAGAACCACTGCTCTAGGGAATGCAAGTTTAGTTTCTTTAACCTATCTTGATATGGAAGGTTTCTAAGTCCCGGAATCATTTTCGTCATTCTTCGCTGCACCGACTCTAGTGAATTGATATCCATTCTATAATAAGGGCACCAGAACTGAACCGCATAATCGAGGTGCGGCCTGACTAGCGCAAGATATAGTTGCAATAAGACCTCTGCACTCTTATTACTTACACTACTAGATATAAAACCTAATACTCTGTTTGCCTTATTTCGAACATTAACGCACTGTTTTCGAGGCCGTATTTGTTCTTCCATTATCAAGTATGCTGCACTTGCTGGTGTTGAATTTCATTTGCCATTTTTCTGACCACTCCTGCAGTTTATTTAAATCCTCCTGTAGTGCATTTGCATCCTGCCCTGAATTAATCTGCCGCCCTATTTTGGTGTCATCCGCAAACTTTTTTATATCACTGCTGATCCCAGCATCTAGATCGCTTATGTAGATTATGAACAAGAGTGTGCCCAGTACTGACCCCTGGGGAACCCCACTGGTTACACAGCCCCACTCAGATTTAACACCATCTACGCTGACCCTCTGTTCTATCGGTGAGCCATGATTTCATCCAATTTAAAACTTTCCCCTCGATACCATGAGCCTTAACTTTTCTCAGAAGCCTCTGATGCGGTACTCTGTCAAACGCTTTGCTAAAGTCTAAGTAAATAATATCGTAATTTTCTTCATTATCTACAACCTCGAAGACTCCTAAAAAACGTCAGCAAATTTGTTAGACAAGATAATGTTGATGGTGGAGACAGAATGTTGATGGTAGGTAGAGACAATGTTGATGGTAGAGACATAATGTTGATGGTAGAGAAAATAATGTTGATGGTAGAGACAGTTAGAGGTTAATAAGGTCATCAGAGGTTAATAAAGGTAGTTAGAGGTCAATGAAGGTAGTTAGAGGTCAATGAAGGTAGTTAGAGGTTAATGAAGGTAATGGTGTGTTTCAGGAGAATGTTCCCAGTGGTAAAGGTGTCGGTGGGAGGACTCGACCCAACGGCCATGTACTCAATCCTGCTTGAGTTCGTCCAGATTGACACACACAGGTAAGCCCCCCCCACCCCCTCAGGTGATGCTCGTACTACAACACCTGGTCACATCTTTGCAACAATTAGTACCTTTGCAATGCTTATTCTCCATCTTGCAATAGCTATAAGAATTTTTGCAACATACACACTGGAACATTTTGTATCTCTTTGCAACACTCATCCACCTTGCAATACCTATAAGAATCTTTGCAACATACACAATGCAGCAACTAGTATATCTTTGCAACACTCATCCATCTTGCAATACCATCAAGAATCTTTGCAACATATAGTATAATCTCTTTGCAACACTCATCATCTTGCAATAACTAAGAATCTTTGCAACATACATACTGCAACATATAGTATAATCTCTTTGCAACACTCATCCATCTTGCAGTAACTATAAGAATCTTTGCAACATACATACTGCAACATATTGTATAATCTCTTTGCAACACTCATCCATCTTGCAATACCATCAAGAATCTTTGCAACATACATACTGCAACATATAGTATAATCTCTTTGCAACACTCATCATCTTGCAATAACTATAAGATTCTTTGCAACATACATACTGCAACATATAGTATAATCTCTTTGCAACACTCATCATCTTGCAATAACTATAAGAATCTTTGCAACATACATACTGCAACATATAGTATAATCTCTTTGCAACACTCATCATCTTGCAATAACTATAAGAATCTACATACTGCAACATATAGTATAATCTCTTTGCAACACTCATCCATATTGCAGTACCATCACCTTTATTACAAGCCCCCAATTTCCTGCTGTAGGTGGAAGTACGTGAACGGTGAGTGGGTGCCCGGGGGTAAGCCAGAGACGGCCCCGACCTCGGCTGTTTATCTACACTGTGACTCACCTAACTTCGGTAACCACTGGATGAAAGACCCGGTCTCTTTCGCTAAGGTTAAACTTACCAACAAGACCAACGGAAATGGACAGGTAAGTGTATGGTGGTGTTGGTGGTAATTTGTGGTGATTTTTGGTGGTGGTGGTGTTGGTGGTGATTTTTGGTGGCGGTGGTGGTGGTGATTTTTTGTGGTGGTGATTTTTGGTGGTGGTGGTGGTGATTTTGGAGTTAATGTTGGAGTTGACATTCACCACTAAGATTACTTTCCACATGTCACTGAGATTAAACGGACACTCATACATCGCCTTAACAAAAGATGGACATTCGTATACACATCGTCAGGTTAACACTAGGACACGTGTTAGCGGGCCTTGACCACCCATGTCACGGTTGATGGCTCAGGACACGGCTATACAGTATACCCAAGACACGGCCCTTAGCAATTTAGGACACCAGAAAAACAGGGGTGGTAGTGTGTGTGTGTGTGTGTGTGTGTGTGTGTGTCATAACCATATAATAGAGGGAGGTGGTGGGGGGGTGTTTTATGGGGATGGCACTGGGGGGGGTGGTCATCCTCCTGGCCCTGTACACATCTGGTCATTACCTCTCCTCCTGACACGCGCTCTCTCTCTCTCTCTCTCTCTCTCTCTCTCTCTCTCTCTTGAAAATTAGATATATATTTCTATCTATATATATCTATCTCTGTCTGTCTCTGTCTGTGTCTGTCTGTCTGTCTTTCTGTAAATATTCGTGTTTACTGGTTGATGAAGGTTTAGTGAGGCAGTTCGGGAGGTGGTGTGGTATTATGGTCGACGGGCCCCCTGCTGTCACCACGTCCTGTACTGGCACCATCACCCCACCACGACTGTCACCACCTGGTCTATCCTCACCCGTCACTATCCAACCATCACCCAACCCTCACCCACTACACAACCCTCACCCATCACCACCACCCATAAATCACCCACAGTTCCCCCTAACAAGAGATAAATGATGCCAGACGTGACTGACAAACTTAAAATGGATAGCTACACTGTCTGTACTGTCCGAGGGGGATAAAAAATGCGTCTGTGTGCCTTTTTGTGTAAGTGTGTGTATGTCTTATTAACTTTATGTATGTATGTATGTATGTATGTATGTATGTATGTATGTATGTATCCCAACCATACATAAAGAGACTGGCCCACCCTACCCACCAGCTCACACACACACACACACACACACACTACACTACTCATGGACCATTTCCAATATTTAGGAGGCGTTTCGTTTAATTTTACAGCAACAATAAATCCTTCCTTTGGTCAACACCAGCCAGTACCTAAAATGAACCTAACCTATAAGGGAAGGAAGTCTCATTGGTCACCGTAAAATAATAAAAAAATAAAATATCCTTCTATAGATTCACATAGATTAACTCTCCTCTTCATAGGTTAATTTCACCGTCAGGAAACCCGGAAGTTGGTGTGGGTGGAGGCGGCGTTGGGGGGGATGTTTACCTAGTGGGCGTGAGGTTGGTGTTAGGTTTGCCCGGGGAATGTACACAAATATGGCCGCCTGACTCCACCATTCTAGATTTGTTATAGGATTTACTTAACGTGTTTGTGTATTGATGTCTGTCTGTCTCTATATATCTATCTATTTATCAGTCTGTATGTCTGTGTGTCTATATTTCTCTCTCTATCTCTCTATTTATTTATTTACCTACCCCCCCTCCTCCCTTATCTCATTCTCTCACCCCCCCTCACCTCATTCTCTTATCTCTCCTTCACCTCATTCCCTCACCCCTCCCTCACCTCGTTCTCCCTCATCCACAGATAATGTTGAACAGCCTCCACAAGTATGAACCTCGCCTTCATGTGGTACAGGTGGGGCGGGAACAACGAACCATCTCCTGCCATACCTTCCCTGAGTGTCAGTTTATCGCTGTCACCGCCTACCAGAACGAAGAGGTCAGTACCCAGGTGGAGAGAGAGAGAGAGAGAGAGAGAGAGAGAGATCCGTCTTGCTGGCCAAAGTTAACGTAATCTGACGTCTGTTGTCTTAATTTCATATATATATAAAGAATATACAGTTGTTTAAGATATAATGATATATTTAAGCCACGGAAAGTTTAATTTGAGATCCAGAAATTATACCTTGAGGTACAATATAATTTGATTCAAAGTATAATATATTTTGGACTTTGTAATTTATACCAAGTGGAGTATTTTTTTTATTTTTCTCCTAAGTTACGTAGATAAGAAATCCATCTCTTTATCGAAGGCGGCGGTAGAATCAATTAGATAAACGACGAGGCCATAAAGTGAGATAGGCGCGGGTGGCATGGGCGGCGGGAGGCGGTAGATCAAGGGGCGGCGGCCTTTTGGTGGCAGGGTGGCCGGGACACTAGACAATGTACGGCTCATGATACCTAGGTTGGCGCAGCGGCCTCACCTCACACTCAACCTGGATTTAGATAAGCCGAGATATATGGCTCTCTCTCTCTCTCTCTCTCTCTCTCTCTCTCTAATCTTTTCCTAGTGCGTATGTGATTATTCAATGATAGATTCCCAACACAAACTCGTATATTAAAGGCTTTTTATGATGTTTTGGACTTATGCATCAAATGGCTTAAACAAATCCACATTTTCTTCCCTCTGTGTTCTAGGTGACGGCGCTGAAGATCAAACACAACCCTTTCGCCAAAGCTTTCCTGGATTCGAAGGAGCGGCCTGACCTCCAGACCCAGCGAGAAATAATGGCTTCATACTCCCAGTCTCACCACCAGCAGTGTAAGTCTTCGTCAGGAGTGTCTAGTGAGTGCCCGTCAGCCAAGATGTGATTGGTTAAAGCCCGTGACGTCAGAATAAATAGTAATACCAGTTAACAAGGATTAAATTATTCTGTTTCTGATCATTCTGGGATATGTTTTGTTTGGTGTGTTGAAAGTGTAAACATCAGGTCACGGGCTCTAACCGATCGTCTTGGTACAGCTTATATATGAGTTATCCGGACACCAAAATATAACCCATATTTACTTTAATTTTATTTAACAAAATGTCCAAATATCCGAGTTAGTTTCATGTATTAATAATTAGATTCCATGGTAATAGGTTGTCTCAGATAAGCTATTGTAATCTTTGTTGATGCTGTAGGCTCCACCCAGTTTCTCAACAGTCCAATCACGTCTGGCTATCGTTATACTAATCAACCAATCCTGGATCACCACAGATGGCTGGTACATGGGAGGCGGCGCGGGGATGTGCAGTGGGGGCGTGACTTACGGACAGGCTCCTCCCCCTGGAGTGGGCCTCGCTCCTCCCCCCGTCACCTTGTCTTCACGTATCGCCGTTAACATGAGGAACCATCGTGTTCTGCCCTACACCTCCCCCACCCCCAGGGCCACCAGAACCCCCCCAGGTGAGATGCTACAACCACTAATGTAGTCTAAATAATCACTGGAATGAAGACGAAGGAAAATGGAATGAGCTCGTCAAGTTTAGATACCCCAGTTTATTTTATCTGATGATTAAACACCCTAACTTAAACCTAACCTAACCCCCCCCCCTCCTGATAGCATTAGGGCATTTAAATATCAGGTGATATAAGCTGGGGTGCCTAATCTTCAGGTGCTCTAAATGCAATGTTGATAAATATGTAATTGACTCTGATGGGACGTAATTATCACAAGGGTCGTATATATAAAATTCCTTCCCTTATATAGAAGATCTATAATTATTCTTATATGATGAAGTATATACGATGTTTTAAGTGAGGTACACAGGTGGAGCCCCTCCGTGACCTCACACCTTCGTCAGGTAGGTCTGGCCCTTCAGGAGTCCCTCACTAACCTATTCGTTGCCTTATCTATCTCTAATCTCTAACTTCGAATTATATAACTTAAAGATAGTTCTCATCTCTAATCTCAACCGTGAAATATAGTGTCCTCAAAATGGCCTTAAGAGTTCAAGCAAGTCACCAAGCTGTTTTGGGCATCGTGTGGGAGTAAGTCAGTCACCATTTGTTTACTTTAATGCAAAACACTGACTGGCTAAGCATACACAAGCAGGGGAATTAAGGAGAGAATACAGGGAAACAGATAATGTAAATAAACTTAGTGAATAGTCAATGAAAGTAAAATTCGTTACTTGATATGAGTTTCCTTAATATACCGAGGTCAAACGGTTTAATGTATTGCAATATCAAGTAACGTGTGTGTGTGTGTGTGTGTTTACAAAGCTCACCAGACTGTGACTTGCAAGGTGATGTGGCGTTTGTTATGAATTAAGAGACTAGGAACCTGAAGGGCTATTATTTTCTAGTTTATGGGTTGTTGGGTTAGGTTTTGGCTATTGGCTACGAGGTCTTGGGCTAGGACCTGTTTGGGTACAAGGGAGGTGTTAGACTAGGACCTGTCGGTAATGGTTTATGAGGGTCTTGATGCTGTACTTTGTCTGGTGAACATCGTCGGCGCCTCTGGCAGGAAGGTCGAGTAAACAAGATAAATAATTTGATTGGTTTCCCCTCCGTCTTGGGCCAAAAGTAGAAGTCGGGGGTAAATAATGTCACTCCACACCTGTTGTTACGGCTGGAGGACCCCAAGGCTGTGGCTGGCTATTGGTACCGTAGTGTTTACTGGTGTTTGTGGCCCCGATGAGCGTGTGGACCGGCTTGGACGGTACCTTTTACGACAGTCGATCAGACCGATAGCGTTCGTACAATTTCCTTTGATAGAAGAACCTTAGGGGCGTAAACCACTACCGGTATGTGACTATAAACTGTGATTAATATTAAGGTTATTGTGTTAAATGAGATAATTAATGGTTGTTTTGTGGAAATTAAGAAAGTTGTTAGTTTAAGACATTTCCCGGAAGACAATGGATGTTTGGTAAACACAGAGGGCAGCCCACTAGTGGAGGTAATGGCGGACATCTTAGGTCCTTCTTCCCCGGGGTGACCAATAAATTAATTACGCGCACAAGTTTGCCCAAGAGATTGGTGAGGCGGGGAGGAGGGTGCTAAGGCGTGGGGGCGGCGGTGTGTTTGTGCCTGGCCCTGGCCTTCATTCATCGTGCCCGGGGGCGGCCGCCTCACCTGGGTCAGGTCATACTAACTCGAGTTCTTGTGTTACAGTGGGCGGTATGCCTCAACAGCAGTCTGGCACCTACGGCCTGGCGGGTCTGGCGGCTGAGTGGCGGCAGCAATCATGGGGTCACCACCACCATCCCCAGGCGCCCGTCACTGCCACCACCTCCACGCCCGTCACGCCCGCACACTACCAGTGGACGGGTTTACAGGGAAGCTACGCCCACCCCACCCATCACAGCGCGGGGCTCTACCAGGGGTACCAACAGTGTGGTGTTACAGGTATGGGTCTATCTAACACCACGACGAGCACAGCGCCCACCCACCACGCCCAGCGCTCCCCCCAGGAGGCTCTCACACCCATGGGGACCTACACTGACCCCTCCGTCACCCAGGGCTACATCACCAATCGCTCCTCACCCACGTATGAGTCTATACGTGCGATGGGCACCAACGCGGGTATGTTCGGCGGTGGTCGGCTACACGAGAATTCCCCGGACCATCTTAGTACAGGGGATGGCTCCCCCCAGTCTGGTGGGTCGCCTCCCCTGGGCCACACTACCACCCAGGCCGATATGTTCATCCTGCCAGACCTGGTCTACCCCACCTCCCCCCACAACGACGTGACGCGCATCAAAAATGAGGGTATGGATCCCATGGCCGCCTTAACCGCCGCCTCATCTCACGCGTGGAGTCCGCTCTCTCCGGCCTGTATGTAACACTCAGCCCCTCACATTGTTCTACTCTGTGTACTGTTGACGTCGCCAGGGTGTCTTCCACGCACCCGATAACCCGGCGTATGGTGTGCACGAGTCCCTCAACGGGTGGAGCAGCAGCCAGTCTGTACATGCTACGCTTTGATCTTATGTTACTGTTGATCTTAATCCATAGATTATGTTTTGTATCGTGAATTCTTTTATACGCCAGCTGAATCGAGGTATGGGTTCAATGTGCCATACAAAAAGGGAATGATATGTATATAGTGTAAATATGGTAGTATTTTTGTAGTTATTTATGAGTTATTCAAGTTAGGCTGTGTTTATGTTACTTATCTAAGGTTAAGATGTTTGTAAACTTTTCAAAACATTTACATTAGAAATTTGGGGAGCGTGGTGTGTGGCCAAGTCACCCCGGACAAGTTGACGAAACAACAGGAAGATAACAAGTGTGGCGAAGAGAATAAACATAATGAGATTTTATAAATATTTACCTTCATCGAGAGACTGTAAACACAAACATCTAAGGACTTTATAAACAACGTGTACAAGGGATATGTACATGTGTGAAGAGTGATAGCGAGAGAGTATGAAGGCCAATAGAGGTATACTATATGTAAATTAGTGGGGTGAGATTGTTAGATAAGCTTTAAATAAGTCCCACGCATTCATCCTCAGAATAAAAATGATAACGGATAAACTTTATTGCTTTATAATCTTACCTTTTCTGCCGGTACATTAAAAAGACGCGAGGGAGGGAAGGTACGTGTACTTATGACAGGACCCAGCGACTTGCCTTGCGGTACACCTCTGAATTATGAAGCCAAGTGGGAAATATTCTTACGGTCAAGATGTACGTAAACAACTTGCATTCTTTGATGGTTTGCTTGGTTGCTTATATTCTTGGTTGATTAGGTTAAAGTGAGAACGAGTAGATTAGGTTAAGTTAGGTTAAGCTGGAGTAGATATGAGGTTAGACTGAGTGAGTAATTTAGGGAAATGAAAATCCCACAAAAACAGGACATTATGTGAATCATAGCGAGAACTCCGTCTAAAAAGTAGAGGAGGTTGTCGCGCGCAGTGAAGACATGAATAATTCACACAGTTTTATGAGGGATTGTGGGTTGTAAACACCTTGGACGGGTTCCCTCACTCTCTGTCTCTCACCTTTCCTGTCTTGTACTCTTCCTCCTTCCCTCTATCCTCCTACTCTTCTTTCCTCCCTCCCTCTATCCCTGTCTCGTACTCTTACTTCCCCCATCTTTTCTCCCTTCCTGCTTTCTACTCTTCTTTCTTCCCCCTCCTTCCCTCGTACTCCTCCCCCCACCCACCTCTTCCTCCTCTCCTCTTACGTCTTCCAACACTCTTCTTCACCCTATTCTCCCTCCCTCCCCCTTTTAGTTTCTTACCTCTCATATTTCCCTTCTTTCTCACCTCTTCCTCATTTTCCTCTCCTTACTTCACTTATTCCCTAACACATGAACTAATTTACTGTACTCAAGAGGCTAAGAAAACTAATTTACTGTACCCAAGAGGCTATAGTCATCGTACTCATATGTTATCGCGTTCATTCCTGCCGATCTCATGCACAGTAATTGTCAATATCATTAATTCGTTATCTAAAGTATTTTTTATTTACCAAACTCTAAAATACACAAATATATAACAAGTACATAACTACAACAGCCATTCAAAATTGGTCTTCATTACAAGATCGTTCAGAGGGTTTGTTAGCAGCCGGCAGCCATTTGTGTGGTGCAGTGACTTGGGTTTGTGTGATGTCTGCTAGATGTACGTGTGCGCGTGTGTGTGTGTGTATCAGTAGTGTTCCATACTAGTGCTGCCCTCTTGTGGTCTACGTGTGAATGAGTCTCATGCTTCATTGTACTATGTAAGTTTCCATTCCTTATATGTATTGTAGTAGTTGACTTGTTTGTTAAATAATATACATACAGTCGTCATTCTGAATCCTGCCGTCACCTGTACAAGTTCCTCAACAAAGTCATTCTTCAAGTGCGTGTTTACTTACCCCACCATGAGCGAAGAGAAACCAAACAGGGTTCTATAGTTTTTATCCTGTTACAGGACGCCGGGGTTGACCTGTGTGCGCTAACAGGTGGTATTGGCCAGATAAGCGACCTTAGACAAGTATTAAGTGAGAATTATTTTATTGCGGAGGTTAGAACAGTGACTATAGTGCTTTACTGAAGATGATTCCTGGCGTCAACGACACCAACGCATTACCAGGTGAGTGTTAATAATATAGCATTGAATATCTTACCGCGCGTGTGTGTGGAAGATACTGTAAACAACACTTTCTGGAGACGACACATTTTTTTGCAATTTGATAGAAAACGTGTAGTACTTCAGCGTGATAACGGGAGTGTAAACCACTAATGGGTTCTCAATTTACTGTGACTAAACACAGACTGTGCTTTGACAGTCTGGGATGAGGCGTAGATCAGCGGGGGTGTTGGCACCTAGTTGTTACCTTCACACACACCACACGTGGAAGTGACACATACCACAGGTGTTTTATATATGTATAACCCAATTCTATTACCGGATACAAGGCATAATTACCTGGCGGGAGATAACAAGGTGATTAGAGATAAGATAAAACATGAAACTCAAATAAGAAATCTCGGCATTATACTGTGTTACGTCACCCTTCGAATTACTTTTTTCACAGGTGAAATTAAAACATTTTCTCTTCGATTACCTTAACCACTATACTCCATAACCCACTGTATGGATGAAGGGTGGAGGAAACAGTACAATAGGTGGAGTAAACAGTGGGTGGATGAAGAGGGGTGGAGTAAATATGGGTGGCGGAAACAGTGGGTGGAGGAGGTGCATAGCCAGGACAGACCCCAGCAGTCACCTCTTGCATCACATTCCTCCCCCTGATTCGTAAAATATTTCGTGAGATGAACCCCACCCCTACTGTACATCCTTTACCCCCCTACCCCTACATCCTTTACCCCCCTACCCCTACATCCTTTACCCTCCCACCCCTACATCCTTTACCCCCCTACCCCTCATCCTTAACCCCCCACCCCTTCCCTTTTCTGTGACCTGAGAACAAAACACCCTCACAATGGCATCCATCATCTCCAGATATGAACACTCGACTGTCTCGTGGCTTCTGGAGCGTTTATAAGATTCTATTAAGATCTACCCTTCCCCTATAGTAATAAGCTAGACAACTACAGGCATTCTAATCTCTCTGGGTATTGCAGGCATCAGTCTGTTGTATTATTGAGACCTCATGTCATTAATACTAAGAAAACTGAACTCCTGATGTCAATATTTTCTCCAAACCAGCCCCGAGACGACGTATTTAGCCGCGGTAGAGACTCAGTTTGATCTTGATGCCTTTTGGGTGTTAGTTTTGAGGGTTTAGTTGAAGTCAGTCAGTGTGGTGCAGTCTTACCTCACTATATAAAGAGGAAAATGTTAACCTAAGGATCTGTGACTCTTGTGGCCGGGAGTGTCGTGGTCCTGAGGCTGTTTGCTTACCATCGTAGTCGTGTGTTTGCCTCCTCTCTCGTTTATTATCGTCCTCTGTCCTTTCCCCCCGTTTTATTACCCACTTCCTGTTGCCTGATCCAGCGGAGGAACGTGGGTGGGGGAGGTGGAGGAAGGAAGGAAAGGGGGAATTCCATCACTAATTTCTTAAACTAATGAATAATTCTTTTTATTTTTGTAATTTAAACATTCATAAGCGACAAATCAAGTGGAGGAACAAATACAAATAAATATACAGACATTTCATAGTGGTACAGTACACCACACTACCCAAAAAATACAGTATTTCAGAAACAATGGTACATGATGGGTGTCTTAAAAACCTTGGTGGGTACAGATACAAATACAGCTATACATATCAACCTATATCATCATATACGCTAATACGTACAAATACACGAGTTATCCCTCCCATCTTTTACGATTTCTATGGTGATTTTTACATTCGATTTCAGCGTAAACAAGTGAATAAATTAACGTTTAAGACCGGTGTATTTTATTTTTATTAAAAGTTTCGTATTAAAGGGAGGTCGTAAATTTAAGGGATACACCACATTTAAGGGAGTTACAGCTTTAGGGAGGACAGGCTACAAGAGCTATCTGTGGTGGTGAGAGGCCTAGCGTAGATAATGAGGCGCTAACAGTGTTTTCCAGGCCAGATTAGGGTACGGTCTTAATCTGGTTACGGCCACACACGCTGCTGGTGGCCCATTGGGGTATTAGATGGCCAGATGGACCCCAACCTAACCTACTTTATAATCAGTCCCAATAGACCCCAACGTACCCTATGGATAGTCCTAATAGACCCCAGTCCCCTCGATGGACCCCAGATTTAATGAGCTCCCACTGTTGATGCTGGTGCTGGCTGCTGCCGTGGTGCTGGACTATTATCTGATAAGAATAGATAAGCTGAAAACGTCACCACCCCATCCTACCTCTTCCCCTACCCCCTTCTAACCTCTCCTGCACACAATGAATTTAAATAACAGCTGATGGTACTTATTAATATCAACGTACATTAATTAGAAGTACCTACCCTATATGTTTACCGAGAAGTCACAAACGTAAAATAAAAAAACTATTTCTGTAATTGTATAAATTTTAAGTATGACAGAGAGGATTTTCACCTAAGCATAGTGGCTAAAAAATTTTCCTCGTCACAATTTTTTTTTTTATATATAACTGAGGAAATGTTTAACATCGTACAGTGCAATAGTTTAGAGTGTGGCAAACAAGACTTTTTACCCATAGGCACTAAAAAATGTAAACAATACAGACAATATTTTTACCATGACATTTGTTTTACTTCATTGATCAGAAACAACCTTGTATAATTAACTTGAGGATGATAATGACAATGATAATGATATTTTAGATAATTAATCTCATTTGCATCACTCGGGGTTGTGTGCTTAAACGGTGGTGCTGTGTAGTTAGGCAGTGTATTCATCCCCTGGTGGTGGTGAACTTGCACCCTCTGATTCGTCATACACACTTTCATCGTTTGTAGTCCCAATCATGAGGATTTCTGTTGTTTCCTCTTCTGTAATATGATTCATTATACTCTCTGTGGTGTTAGAGTTTCCTGCTTCACTCTGCGGCATAGTTAAGAGGTTATTGAAATTTATTATTTTATTATAACAGCTATGTGATATACAGTATTTGTGGATTAAAATAATAATCATTGGATGACCTGATGATTAGCCCTCCCAGTTCACTTATTCCTACCTGAGGAGATAAGGTTAGGGTTGCGTTTGGTTAGGTTAGTTAACGTTTGGTTACGTCAAGTTAGGTTAGATTGAGTTAGGGTCAGGTGAAATAAGTTAGGAGCTAATCTTCAGGTAAACCCAAATATGTATTAATGGACTTTTACTCAATCATTTAAACCTGGTATAACAGGTAAATAACTGCCCCATTCATGTCTTGTTAACAAACTTGGTCCAGATCCACAAAGCGTCTCTTAAGTTGAGTTCGTCCTGTCAATTGGGGCTAAGAGATCTTATCTAGTTAAGGTAGAGTCTAGATACACTTTTGATGCCATTTTGGTCGATATTTTAGTGTTTCATATCACAATCAACCCTTTTCATGTCTCTCCAGTTATGAGGAAACTTTAATGGTGAACCTTTTAGAACTGGCAGACCGGACGTTAGTTTACCTTTGGTTGGGCCTCCTTCTCTGTGGCCACGACCTGTTTGACGTCTTCCACCTTCACTTCTGGAGACACAGTTTCTCTTTTGACTTTCTCTCCTTGCTGCTCAGCGGGAGTCTTCACCTCAGATCCTTTCCCGTCACCTGGGCCCGACACATTTTGTTGCCGCTGTTGTGACTGTTTGGTCTTTTGGTCTTGTGTATTGTTTTTATCCTCGAGTGATGACCGGCATTTAGCTTCTAACTCCTCAATGGCTTTCAGATTACTCTTTGTTTGGTCTAGTTCAGTCTTCAGCTGGGAGGACGTAAGCTGGGCCGTAGCCAACTGGTTCCCGGTTTCCTCTGCAGCTGTAATCTTGTCCTTGAGGTCGGCGTTCAGCTTAATTATATCTTCCTTCATTGAATCTATAACTTGAGTCTTCTGGTCACCTTCTGATTTCAGGCGTTCTATGGTTTGCTCGCCTTCCTAGAGAGAGACACCAGAGTTTAATGGAGAAAGAGAGTTAAGGGAACGATAGATATAACCGTAGTTTTTTAACCTCTTCCAAAACACCAATAACCACCAGATTCCCATAGCCTCTGACGGTGACTAATCCTTGTAACTGATGCTGTAAGAATCCATCTGTCTGTCTGTCTGTCTTAACCTAAAATACAAAACTAACATCAACATTACTCTGAACCTTATTATTGTGGAGCCGAGTAAACGCTTACGAATCTATGATAATTAGAACCCCTTTGATTAATATTCTCGTAATTTCAAATTTAAATGCTTGAGGAAAGTTAAAGAAAACTTAACAAAATATTAAAAAATAAGAACATAAGAACTGCAGCGGACCTATTGGGCCATACTGGGCAGTCCCAGTTACACCCAACCCCTATTGCTCATATATCCACCCAACCTATGTTTGAAGCTATCCAGCGTATTCGAGTTAATGATGATATTTGGTAACTTGTTCCATTCATCCACTACTCTGTTTCCAAACCAATGTTTCCCCATTTCGCGCCTAAATCTAAATTTGTCTAATTTTAAACCATTGTTACGAGTTCGCTCCTGGTTGTTCATCTGGTATCTGGTTTCCCTGTTTACATCTCATATACTGAGTAGTTTACATTTGTCCACATTAAATTTCATCTGACATTTTTCAGACCATTCGAATTAATTTTTTTTAGATCTTCCTGTAGTTTTGCGGAGTCCTCGTCAGATTTAATTACACTCCCTATTTTAGTGTCATCGGCAAATATACTTGTGTTGCTGTCTACGCCGATATCTATGTCGTTTATGTATATAATAATAATAATGATCCAAGTACTGAGCCTTGGGGAACTCCACTCTGACGTTGCTCCAATCGGATTTAGTGCCGTTAATGCTCACTCGCTGTTTCCTGTCCTGTAACCACGCCCTAATCCACTTTAGAATATCTCCTTTAATGCCATGAGCCTCCACTTTTCTTATTAGTCTTTCGTGGGGGACTCTGTCGAAGACTTTGGGACTTATATTTTGTTCATATTGGAGTAATTAATTCACAAAAGCCAAATTATAATCAAGAATCATTGTTTTGAGAGTATTAACATGAATTAGCTGTCCTTACCTTCAGTGAATGCTCAGACTTGTCCAGCTGCTCATTCTTCTTCTGTAACATTAATAACTATTAAGTAGTGTCATAACTAGATAAAAAAGATAAATATGTAAATAGATAGGAACCAGTGGATATAGGAGCTGATATTAAGCTATCCTTCATTGATTCTACTGTACTTATAGAATACCATTGGAGACCATTGTTTATGTTGAACCAATGTAAGCTTGTATGCATACTATACCCAATAAAAACGATCTATATAATCAATTAATCGATAGAATTTAAAGATTAGTTGAAAAATAAAACCACACTTGGATGAATAACTCTCATCAAAGGCCATTTTAGGTGTTTAAAACTGTCATGATAGGAAATTTGTGACCGCCAGTTGTGTGTTGCTTATAAGTGGCATTAGTTGTTTATAACCTGGACTTGACTTCTATATTCGACGATCTTCTGTTCCGCGAACCGTAAGTCTGCCTCTGCTCTCTTGTAGTTTGTCGTGATAACTTGCGCCTCATCTTGTCTGTAACAATAAACAAAGAACTTACCTGAAGAATAGCCAACCTAGTTTATGTCACCTTAAGAATTAACCTCACCTCAAACACACACACACACACACACACACACACACACAAACACACACACACAAACACACACACACACACACCATCCCTGACACCGGCCCCTACTACCACCTGAGATCCCCTGTCCGAGAATTGCTGTTCGACACCACAACCGCATCCAGCCCATACGTGCACGAACTGATCGCTATAAGAACAGCCCAGTCCCAACCATTGTAAAATTATCAATAACATGTAATAAATCAGTGTATTCACTCCCAGTAAACACTGCTCCCTACACTGTCACTATGTTGAAATGAACTGTAGTTTGAGCTGATCCCCATCTAAGTTACTATATATCTTATTTGTGTCACTTATGTCACTTGTATATTATTTGTAATTCGTAACCCATTCCCCAAATATGTAACTGTATATTTTCAGCCTTCTGGCTGCCAAGCTCTTTCAATAAACCGTTAATTATTATTATTATTATTATTTATTACACACACACACACACACTACTCACAAAGCCTTCTTGCTGATAGCGTGATTAAAGATGCCTTCTTTTATGTTCTGGTTGAGGCTGTGGTTCCTGACCAGTAGTGCAGCCACCACCATGACGAGAGCCAGGAGGATAATTTGCGTGGCGTTAACCATCTTTCCTGTAAATAGAGATTCTCATTAATCCTCCCTCCAAAAAAAAGTACCTGTTTTATTGTATTTGATATGGCTAATAATCAGAAGTTACAATTTCCGTTTATTTGCCATTATTTCCATGCAATATATATTCCCTTTAACCCATTTAAGTACTCTATTTTTCTGTAATTATTACCATTAGCTGATTAAGTACCATTTTCATGCAACAAAGTCTATTAACCCTTTACCATAATTTTCCATCAATAAATAACACCATTAACATATTTAAACACCATTTCCATACAATAAAAATCACCAATACCATTCATTTATAAATTTTTCATGACCGTGGCAAAAAACTTGTTGGTTAGGTTGTTATTTTACCGTGACACTACAATCTCTTATTTAATACCTCTATGCCCTGTCCACTGTACTGGTTGAATCTTTCTATCACGATTCATTTAAACTTGATCAGGTCTCACAAAACCGACCCCGAACCCCTCATGTAGAAAATAATGGAGTCATGCATCGTCATATGGACTATCATAACATACTATTTTTTTTTTGTTAATTTACACATCAAAATATTATAAAAATCAGGTAAACTCTTAAACTTTGTAAAACTAGGTTGCAATGTTGGAGGTTCGGGGTGTGGTTTACCTTTCGTTCTCCCCAGTTTGTACTTATGGAGGCGATCACCTCTGTTTGCTTCTTGCATATTATTCTTTTGCCTCCAACTTAACTGAAACAGAGTGGTATAAAAGTAAGAAAAATCTAGAATTGTATTTGTTTGACACACATGCTTTAATTGGTAAAGAAAGTAACCAAACTGCGTGACAATCTAATCAGGTAACCCAATGATGGCATGTTTACCTTATTACCTGATGGCCAGCCTAACTACAGGTGACCATGCCGAGGAAAAGATCGAGACCAGTGACCTGTGATAGTCTTGTTAAGTGAGGAAGGCCAGTAGTGTTCTCGCTTCCACTTGAACTGGTAGACTGTTCCATAGGTCTACCAGCCTCTGTGTGAAGTATTTCCTTATAATCTTCCTGCATAACACCCTCGTGAGTTTGTACTTACGTCCCGCCGTGTTGGCAGTGCGTGACATCACGAAAACATGTCCCGGGTTCACGTTTTTCATCAGCTTCAAATTTTGTGTCTGCGTTCTGCCTTATTGTGTCTTGTGTAAAGAGTTGTTAGACCTATGGCCCTCAGTCTACTTGGATAATCCAGTTATCGTTCAGGAATCAACTTAGTTGCTCTGTGTTGCACATTATCTTACCTCTGAATTAGGAGTTACGCCTTATAATACCCCAGGAGACCGTTACACACGAACCCTGTGACGGGAGACAAAAAATAAACTCGGAAATTCGAAACGTGGTCTCAATAAGTTGGCCAACCAAGGATAAATCAAGAAATACCTTAAAATCGTATTATCTCCACTTGTATTAACAGTATATGTGTAAACGTGTAATATGGGAGGTGCAGTATATTAAGATAGTTCCCCTCCAACATGTTATCGTTTTCTCTGGTGACATGTGTATAAAGTCTACGGGAATTGCACACCCACGGTTAAGAAAGTGTAACGTGCAACAAACACTGGCGCTGGTACTTTGGAACCAATACATGCCCAGTACGTGCCAACAGTGTGTAACAGAGACGTGAACAGGTCCTGATCACCCCTCAATATATATATATATATATATATATATATATATATATATATATATATATATATATATATATATATATATATATATATATATATATATATATACTCACCATTTTTCACGTTGCAAGGAAAAAAATTAAATCCCAAACTCAGGGTCAACTGTCATGGGCTACAGGGTGTACAAGACAGCATCACAAGAGACTACAGGCACCACACTGTTTTTGTCTTGCTGGTGTGTGTGTGTGTGTAGGGGAGGTAGTTGTCCGTTTTATCAGCTGCCCGGGGGTGAAGAGGAGGGAGAGAGAGATAGGAGGGGTGGGGAGGGGAGAGGGGGGGCGTGTAAACAAGATATTGGTATCAACAGTCTTGTTGTGTGTGTGTGATTTACCACACATGGATAGACAGACACGTGTACAAATAGACAGACAAATAGATAATTAGACAGGGAGATAGATAAGGAGAGAGTACTGGAGGGGTTATGTTTCCTACTGTCTATACTGTCTGTCTTATCTTCAAGTTTGGGTACGTCTGTCAATCGGGTAATCAAGGACACCACGTACAAATAATTGTTCATTATACGTCTGATTGTTCGCTGTTCATTATACGTCCGTTTGTTCATTATGATAAGCCCTTTGTTCACTATTCATTATACGTCCGTTTGTTCATGATAACCCATTTGTTCACTGTTCATTCACTGTTTGTTCACCTCCTTGCTGCCAGCCGTAGAACAACGTGTTGGTTCAGTGTAAATATACCCCCCCGCCCCGCGAGTTAATTCCACCGGATGATTAGTAAACACTCGAACGCTAACTGAGGAGGGTTAGGTTAGGTTAATGTGAGAGTGGTTAATGTTCACATGAAATAAGCTGGGAGAGGCTAATCTTCACTGATCCATACTTATCAAACACAAGCAAAGCGCCAGGCAGAACTTTACCAGGCGAAGAAAAGTGTTGATAATGGCGAGTCTTATCGTTATCTCTCTCTCTCTCTCACATACACACACAGTTTTGAGTGCATGAATCGCATCTTGAGGTATATTTTCTGCCAAATTTGTGAATATTAGCGAGAAATACAACATGAATCTTGCTATGAGGAAGAGAGAGAATATTTATGCGGATTATACATAAATGGGAATTAGGAACTGGTGATACTGCCATCGTTGGGTATAGTTAAACTGTGAGATATATTCTTTAGGGATATACCACGAGAGATGAGGATCAAATATACACGACAGGGTGATGAGTATACCTAACCCATGAGTATTAGCTTGAGTATTATCCTCGAGGGTGAGTATACCTAGGATATATATTATATTCATGATGGGATACTTTACAATGTTTATCTATTAACGTTCGGGTGGGATATATTCTAGGGAACGAATGTTACACAGATGTCGCTATATATCCTTACTGGTGTAGCGGTAGAGACCTGTCATGGTGGTGGTTGTGAGATCTGAGGAGGAGTTCAGTGCCACGTATGACTGTGTGCGGGAGGTCCCTCGGCCACTGACCGTCCTCACCTCACCCTTCAAAGTCTAGATGTTCTGTACGTCTTCTACTCGCACAACGTTAAGTTTAAAAGTGTTTTTTAGTGTCAGGTGGTTTTAAAAATAACTTACGTCGTGGCGAGCGAGAAGTGGTGATCGGGTGTTGATCTAGTAATAGTGAAGCGTCAGAGGAAGGCATCACCAAGGTGTACACGACGAAACTATAGCTGTTCGTGACGAGCCACACCTCTCTCTCTCTCGCTCCTTACCACCTCTCACCACCAATAACATTACGCTTCTCTCTCTTTCTCTCTAAGTTTTCTGTCATGTCGACAATGACTAATATTACTGAGCATTAAATTACATCAACTAACTGTATACAAGCATTTAGAAACGTGTTCATTAGGTTAAGCACTGTAGTTTATATTGTGTTTTACTGAGGAAGGTGCAACATTTGGGACACGTACGGCAGGTGTCCGCTCGGCACAGGTGTTTTACACGTGTCTGGCGGCAGTGGTAGTCCAAATCAAACATTCAGTAAAATTGCTTAAGTCTCTATTTATTTCCATTAAGTGTAACGACAAGTGCTTGATAATGATAGTGTTAGATGAAGAGGGTATTACACACGCACCAGGTACCGAGGTTGTTTTCTTAGTTGCCATCCACAGGTCATCTTACTAGCCGTTCAAGCTGGATTTCTTAATACCCCCATTGTTAATACAGGTGGGATACGGGAGAGACTCGTTGGTGAGGGTCACACTAGATAACACCCTCCTTGCATCTTAGTCTGAGATTTGAACCCACGAGTGACTGCAGGGTGTGAGAGGCAAACACACCGGACAACTCGCCAACTGCACTGGCTAACCATTACCCTGGAACACTATCTGCCAATAAATAAACATCCAGGTTCCTAATTACTGCTATAGGCACGCACATACACAGGTAATCTTAACGTAAAAATGGCCGCAAAACTTTGATTATGACAGATTAATACGATATTAAATGCACTGATGACGATGGGACTTGAGTTAGTATAATATAATCAATAATTACTCCTACGGCTGGCTGATCGTCCACTATATTTACAATTAATGTGGATGAAAAAACCCTGATGGAATTACTTTTAAGTGAAATGCGTTCAGGGAGTACGTTATAGGGGGCAGGCGATGGTGTCAGATCTACTAATTAAGCTCAGTGGACAGGTGTACAGTATATACCACAGCAGGTGTTTCATCCTCTGGACCCGTAACACCTGTGTCTGGTCACCTGTCACTGTATTAATGTATTTCTGTGGCTACGACACTACCACCATATATAATGTAAGGACACATGATACTATCGAGATAAAGGTAATTTGATTTTTCTTTCTCCAATAACAACAGTGTTTGTCTTTGTGCAGCCCGCTGATTGGTTGATTTGGTCACGTATTTCTGTGCTGTGTCTTATTGGTGTAGTACCTTTGTTTGTGTTTTGAAGCAATTTGATTGGTTCATTACGCATCGAGCTTGTTTACATTTAGTGACATGCTGATTGATCTCGTATTTCTGACTTATTGACCCAGTCGTTTCCTGCCTTCCTGAATATGACAGCCTGATATTAGTAGTGATGATTTTAATTTTGTATGTAATTCATGCTTTAAATTATCTTATCACTAAAGGGATTTATATCCAGTTATACTGCACATTCTGAGGTCACTAATCCTAAGGGGATAACTTAACTACTTTTAATTTTAAGGTCGCTGCCACCAGACCCCCTGGACAGTATGTAGCTTGTGTAGGTAGCTAGCAGAGCAAGCCAGGCACGGATGTATGTTTGCATTCATCAAACCAAAGGTGGGAGTAAGGATGAAACATCATTCATGACTTGACTAATTTATTTCCTAATAAAAAATACTGCATTCAGTTACAATACAAAAATAGTTGACCTTCATCAAAATAACTACTATTGGGTTCATTACACATCACACCAGTACACGACCTTCTACAAATTAACTAATTTTTACTTTTTACTTTTATCCTCTTCGCCACTGATCGGCTTGTTAGCCGCTTGGGCGATCGGTCACGACTCTTTTCCTTTATATTCTTCACCAAAAGGTCGGCTCGCTAGCCGCCCGGGCGATCGGTCACGTCTCTGTCACGCACTGTTGGCAAATACTGGGCATGCACCGGCTCCTGAATGTACCTGAACCCGCTCCAGTGTTGGTCAAGTCTTCTCTTGAAAGAGCTCACACTCGGTGCCGTCACAACACTTTCTGGTAGATTGTTCCAAGAGTTTACAACCCTCACTCCGAAAAAGTTTGCCCTCACGGTTTTCCGGACTTGCGGCTTCTTCAATCTTGAGCTGTGACCCCTTGTGGGGCGAGCGTCCGCCAGCTCCAAGTAAGGACACTCAACTGAGTAGTGCCCCCTGAGATGCTTATAAACCTCAACTAGGTCCCCCCTTGCCCGTCTGTAGTATAAGCTAGGCAAGTTCAGGCGCTCCAATCTCGCAGGGTAGCTGAGATGCCGAAGTGCAGGCACCAGCTTGGTGGCCCTCCTTTGAACATTTTCAACCAACTGACAGTCCCTAGCATATCTCGGGGACCAGATGGGGTGACAGTACTCCAGATGGGGAAGCACTTCACTCCTGAAGATCGTCACGAGGGACGGACCGTCTAGATATCTGAACGACCTTCTTATAAGACCCAATAATTTATTTGCCTGATTTACCTTCTTCTCACAATGGCCCGAGAACTTCAGCTCATTGTCAACATACACACCTAGGTCCTTCTCACACACAGTCTCAACTAGTACATTTTCTTCATCCCGTTGGGACATATGGTACGCCTCCTTACCGTTGGTACGCCCCAGGTGCATCCTCTTACACTTCGTGACATTGAATCTCAGCAGCCATTCCTTCGACCATTCCTGGAGCCCACAGAGGTCCTTCTGCAGCTCTTCACAGTCCGCTTGGTTCTTAATTTCCCGAAATAACTTGGCGTCATCGGCAAACATTTGTATGGAGGAGTGTACAACGTCAGGCATATCATTTATGAAACAAACAAACAACAGCGGGCCCAATACACTACCCTGCGGTACCCCACTTGTTACAGGTACAGATGACGATTTCGTGCCATTAATCACCACACATTGCTTGCGGTCATGTAGAAAGTCTTCTATCCACGCTAGGACATTTCCCCGAATTCCGTACCCTTCCAGTTTGATTTTCAGCCTTTCGTGGGGTACACTGTCGAAAGCCTTGGCAAAATCTAGGTAAATATTGTCGATATTACCACCCCGTTCTAGAATATGGGTCCAAATATCCAATACCTTGAGCAATTGTGTCAAGCAAGAGCGCCCCGGCATAAAACCGTGTTGGCAATCTTTTACAAGGTTGTTTCGTAGTAGATGTTCCATCGCTGCATCTCTGATAATACTCTCAAGTACTTTACATATTATGCTGGTCAGGCTCACCGGTCTATAGTTGTTCGTGGAGTGCCTATCGCCCTTCTTGAAGATAGGACTCACATAAGCCACTTTCCATTCACTGGGGACCATTTGTTCATCCAGGCATTTACAAAACAGAATCTTCAGGGGCTCTGCAAGCTCGTTGCACAGCTCCCTTAGCACTCTAGGATGCACCATGTCAGGTCCAGGACTCTTATGGACCTTTAGCCTGGACAGTTTATTTCTAATACCCTCTTCTGTGAACACAATGTGGGTCAGTGCTGTGTCGAACCGTCTGTCCTCAAACGCAGGAAGGTTAGTTGCATCCTCTCTTGTGAACACTGAGGAAAAGAAGCTGTTCAATGCCTCAGCTTTATCCTGGTCAGAATCTGCGTAACTACCATCTTCAAGCCTCAGGTCTGATACTCCTACTCGCGTTTTCAATTTCGACTTTGCATAGCGGTAAAACGCCTTTGGGTTTGACTTGACCTCGCGTGCAACCAGCCTTTGGAACTCCTTTTCAGCCCTCCTACACTCTATCTTTGCTTGGTTTCTGGCTCTTGCATACATCCTCCTGTCTTGCTCATCGTTTGACCCAACCCACGTCTTGAATTTCTGGGTTTTCTTCTTAATTTTGTCGACCGCCGCATGGTTCATGTGTAGGGATCCCCTCGTATTCCTAGAAGCACTGGGTTTGGTCTTGGGTATATATTTATCGATCAAATGGGTCATTTTACTAGTTATGATATTCAGCGTAGTGTCTGCGTTCTTGTACCTTAATAAGTCAGGCCAGTTGATACCCCTCATCTCTTCCCTCATCCCATTGTAATTTCCCTTGTAATATTTGCACCTTGGCCTGGCCTTATCTTGAACTAGGTAACAGTTAAATCTGAATGACAACACTGTATGGTGACTGGTGCCAACTGGGGCAAGGTGTTCCAGTTTGGCCACCATACCCTCCTCGTTTGTTATGATGAGGTCAAGTGGCTTGGGTGTTTGTTCCCCTCTGTAATGTGTCGGGTCTCTCACATGTTGGAACAGAAAATTATCTCTCAGAGTTTCTACAAAAAGAGTAGCAGGATTATTCAAGTCATTCGGGGTTGACTCGTTTCTCCAGTCGATGTCGCCATAGTTAAAGTCCCCCATGATAAGGAGGTGGCTGGGGTTGAGCATCGCCGCATTGTTTATTAAGGTTCTTAAGTTCCTTTGATTTAGTGGGCCACAGTTCGGGGATCTGTAGATACACCCGACGATAAGTAAGTCCCCTCCCTTCATAACAAATCAATGACCTCCTTACCCAGGTCAATCTTTATACAATCACCCAAAAATAATTTCTAGCACCAACATTTACAGCACCATTCTTCCTTGTAGCACCAAGGTATACTTGATCGGTACCCCGCTCACACACTACTCCTGCTAGGTAGAAGGGATACTTCCCAGGTAATCATTCCAGAACTATTCCAGCATCAAGTGTCATGGGGTCGTTTAAGTGGCGACCACGAATCATTACATATAAGACGATCATTGTCTTCTGCCCTAGATGGTGATATGTAAGAGGTCCAGGGGCCTTCAGGGAGATAAATTACATACTAAAGTAAGAGTCTGGTTTGCTAGTTTCTGGGGAAATTAATTGGGTTATATCATTAACTCGGAACCGTAGCCAACATAGAACAAAGGCATAGGCTCTTGTTTTCTTGGCGTGGGTATATCCACTTCACTGCGATCTGTATTTAGGGATCCTCCCCTCACACGTTGCATTCGCTGAACACATTCATAAGATTCTCTGAGTTATCCCTTACAAAAGTTTCTTGTTTTCGAATGTTTTCTGTGACTCGCTACAAGCGCGGTGGATTGAATGCTATGTAGCGTAATATGAATTAAAGAGATATTAAGGATGACAATGATGTGCGCAGTACACAGTCAGAATACGGAATAACACAGGGAAATTAAGAACCAAACAGACTGTGATGTGTTGCAGGAAAATCTCTGGCAGCTTCAGGAGTGGTCACAGGAATGGCTGTTAATCTTCAGCGTTACGAATAGTAATGAGGCGTATTACATGTTCCAGTGTGATGAAGATCCACCAGTAACTGAAACCAAATGAGAAAAGGAATCTGGATGTACAATATATATTGACAACCAGTTGAAGTCCTCTCGGACTTTTGTGAGAAGAAGGCAAATAAATGACTAAGATTTATACGAAGATCGTTTACATACCTACTGTAGGTGGTCCTTCCCCCAAAAAATCATTCTCATCTCCTCCCTGCCGCCGTTAATCGCCCGTAAGGCGATTGCCGCCACTCATTCTTATCGCCCCCCTGCCGCCGTTAATCGCCTGTAAGGCGATTGCCTCCACTCATTCTTGTCGCCCCCCTGCCGCCGTTAATCGCCCGTAAGGCGATTGCCGGCACTCATTCTTATGGCCCCCTGCCGCCGTTAATCGCCGTATACTCTTTAAAAGCGAAGTGCTTTCCCTGTATACAGGGAACATGCAGTACATAGATATTTTAGTTAAAGTTCTCAAGGAATGTGTTACAATTTACATGACTAACTGTGTATACTTTTTAACAGCTTCTTTTCAGTTATGGGTCAGTCACCTGATACAAGTTAGAAACCTCTTTTTTGTTTGTACCAGTGACTGTAGACCCCAGCCAAGGACACCACTTCAACTATGAGAGGTATGTTTGACAGTATTTCATAACACTGTATTGTAATGTCTTTGTGAATTTTGTTACAGTGTGCAGTATTTACCTAATGGCTCTTTGAAGATTAGGAATGTCTATGAGGTCTGCCTTAGTGTCTTTGAAGGAACTTTGTAGAGGGAGTTGAAAGTTTTAAAGGGAGATTAGAAATTATTGAGTCGCAAGTCGTTTCCGAGCGAGTCGTTGACGCGGGGGCGAATTATTAACAGTGCTGATCCCTGGGTTGTACTTTACAGGTAGCAAAAATAGATCTCCAATTATCAGTTACATCATACAATAATTATACCTCCTTGTGGTATTATTACACAACAGTGATACTTGTTAATAGCACAGAGTGCTGGTATTACTTACAGCACCGTGCTATTAATTAACAAACGGGGAAACATTTACCTGCGCATTAGCTGTGAGTATAGCTGGTTCTCTCGCATAGATAACAAGCACTCATTCTGGTGACACTGTAGTAATGTTTAAGGTTTCAATACTCAACCTGAGACAATTGAATTCCCATTAACCTATCCACAACAATGTACACAATAATCATTAACACGTACAGTCAGGGCAAGTACACCAGTCTGTCTTTCCAGTGTTCCTATATCCAGTATGTTCACATGGATTGTTTTTCAACTGGAGAAATATTAAATAGCTTTATATTTGTGTTTTGAATAAGATCCGTAATCACTGCAGTATACCCTTTTGAGTGTGTATATTTCCTCAGTATTTTAGATCTTGTTTCTCTCATGTGTGTGCATTGTATGAGATGTGTGTAATATTTCCATGCGTAGAGGAAGCAATTAAGTTTTCCCCTTCTGTTTCAGCCACTTTCCGTGTGATATTAATATTACATAATATTAAATTTGCTGCAGGTGAGCTGTACATCCCGTCTTAGCAGCACCGCCACAGGTGAACATCTCGCTCTGGTTAGCAATTTTAGCAGTTTAGCGAACTATTAATGGATGACGTTGGCAACACTGATTATTTGTTTACATGACAGCCAGAGGTGAGGGAATGTTTTCATTACACTTACCTGTGCCTAACAAGACCAAATTTGATGTAAATACGCACTACTTAAGTATATGAAAATGTCTCCAATATGAATATAACATGTCAGGTATACAGGTGATAATATTTCTACTCAGTGCTGTATACTACACACGGTACAGCACCCCAGTCAAGGAGGGACAGTTTGGAATTGTTCGACTGGAGCTTTAACTAACATGTTTGTTTTGTTGAACTAAATGTAAATGTGACATACCTTTGGTGACTATAATGTGCACATCTAGGAGAGACTATTTAGAAGGGATATTTCGAGCTCATTCAAGACCAGACTTGACCAACACTGATGCAGGTACATGCCCAGATATATACTTTGCCAACAGTGCTTAACAGACACAAGTGATCGACCACTCAGGCAGCTATTGAGTCGATCAGTGGTGAAGAGAATAAAGTAAAATTAGGGTATCGGAAAATGAAAATTAAATATTCCCCTTCACCTCTGGGTTTATTATTTGATCTCAGATGAATTTTTCAATATACACTTTGTCCCTGGTGTGCAGATATATGACCTCATAGGTTTGGCTGTGGTGTGGTGGGTCATTTTTCCACCATTAGTGACAGTGTTGAAGTAACCAGTTATGTAATCCTGTAGTTATAATGTACTTGAATATTTTCACCGAACACAGTTACACATTACTTTATATATTACATATTTAAATGTTTTTGATGTTCTCCAGAAATGCACAAGTACAAGAGATAGAGGAGTACCAGTCAGAGATGTCCAGTGTATTAGAGAAGACTTTTACTGGTCTTGTGCACAGTCTCCTGGGGGCGGGCAGCTCAAACAACCCAGTTAGTCAGAATGTGTCCGGTGTGTCGGGCCTCCAGAATGTGTCACTTGGCCTGGTACACTTTGTTGAAAAGCTTCAGGCTGCTCGCAGGATATCCAAACAGGTGCTGTTATGAAAATTATTTATTTTTTATCTTTCTTTTGTATTACTGTATATATAGATGTGGTCCATAGGAAAATCTCCAGTTCCTCCAAACACCACAGCCACTATAGTGCAGTACTTTGTCTTCCATATTAATGCTCCCCTTTACATTGATTCAATAGAAAAAATATCTATATTTTCAGGAAGAAGAGCACTGTGTAGAGCATGAGAGTAGAGAGTGGTCGAAGGTGTTATCTAGTCCAGGTGTTAACAGTTCGGTAGTGGCTGACCTGCTGTGTCGTGCTCTCATTGCCAGTGTGCGTGGCTATGATCTTCCTAGCCTCCACATACATGCTATCAAGTTAACTCAAAGCCCTAATGTGCTGCATAAAAAGATTGGTAAGTATGTGTTGTTATGCAAAAACATTAACTTCTTTATTTTACTTAGCAGTTAATTGTTTAATTTATTTTTATGGTACTGTAAGTCATTATATTACAGTATAGTGATATGTACAGTATTGTGCAACATGCCTTTACTGAACTGAACTATGGAAATATGTGAGTGGCCATACTACAACACTAAAATACTGTAGTATGTAAAAAAATGTGCATTGATAAAACAGAAGATAAAACAGTATTTTGTAAGTCATATGTACACTGTCGAAGTTCAATCAGTACAGTATATGTAAATTTGGACAGAGAAAATATTTGATCATTACTTTAATCAAATTTTGAACTACAGGGTACCTATTTGTGAGCCAGGCTCTCCATCCTGGGTCAGAACTCACTTTGCTTCTAGTCAACACTATTCAGAGGGACCTGGCTGCTCCCAATGCTCTTCAGGTTGCTGCATCACTAGACTCACTACCCACTGTTGTCACACCTGACCTTATACCATCCATCATCAAAGCCCTCACACACTGCCTGGCACACCAACAGGTAATATATTTTATTAGTATGTAATGTATTGGATATTTTGTAGGGGCCCATCAAATATTGTGATTTAAGATTTATCCTTTCTCAACAAGTTCCGAGCAATTACAATAAAGCTCTATCCATGGAATATCCTTGGATGCCCCGGAGCTGAGACTGCCTTACACTCGCCTCACCCACAGTTTCCTTATGGCCAGAGGACCACAGCCTTATTGTGATGACTGCCTGGTGCCACTGACTGCGAGACACTTGCTGGTAGAGTGTCCCAGTTATGGGGACTTCAGGAGTTCTTTTCTGGCCAAGTGCGAGTAGGAGGATGGCTCCTTCTCCATCTCAAAGGTTCCTCAGAGAGAGAAATTCAGCATCTGATTGTGGACTTTTAAATTTTTTAGTTACAGTTGGGGTATTTAACCGCTTGTGATTTTAAATAAATACAAGATTTTCTATTTTAATTTTGGTATTTAAACTTGGTAAGATTTTATTTTATTTATACTGTATCATAGTTTCAAATTATAAGTTTCATTTTTGGCGTCAAATAGCCACAGGCTTCAACGCCAGATATTCTACCCAATCAATCGATCAACCACGTAGTTTTTGGTTCTCTCGGGGAATACACCCAGGTTCAGAGGGACGAGTTTTACCACGACCTTTAAGACAGATGTTGACTCATGTAAGGTGTTTCAGTAACATCTTATATTATGAAGAAGTTGTTCTTTTCTCAGAAAGATGCTCTTTTTTCTGATAGTTTTATTTTTCTTTCTTGTAGAGCTCATAGAAATTCTTCTCCCAAAGTGTATGAAGTTGTTTGGGAAAATTCATGTATTTCCTAGATAAACTACTGTACAGTACATGATGACTAAAAATATATTGGCACTGCTAAAGTTATTGCACATGAACATTCAGGTGTACATCAGACGTAGGTGTGCAGCGATGGTTGGTATGGTGGCAACAGGGTGTGGGGAGGAGCTTCAGGCGACCACTAGTGACTTGATCCCTCACCTACTTCACCTCTTGGCTGACCAAGACCCGGGAGTGGCGTTGTCTGCCATTACCGCCCTGTGTAACATTTATAAGGTATACCAGACAGATCCTTAGTTATCATAATATACTTGTTGTTCTTTTCACTTTTGGGGGGAAAGTTGAGATGAATTTTTTTTATTGATTAAGTAATATACAGAGCAATTTAAAACTAATAGTATTGTATCCAAATATTTTTTTATTATACTGTACACATTGCTTAAATTTTATTTGTACTTCTGTCGATCTTTCAATAATTATCCAGGCTGGAGGAGAGAACTAGGCTTCCACCTAATAAACTAACCCTTACATATTCAGCAATAAAATAAGTATGCTATCAGTTGTACTTGCTGGTGGACTAGTATCTTGCTAAGGGCATAAGGTAACCCACTCATTACTTGGTGCTAAGAATCAGCTCCTGTTAATGTACTCCACATCATACCGGGATAATACTCAGAAGACCAAAGAAAGATCATATGGAAAATAATTTTAGATACCTGTGCTGTCTCATCCTTGGCTTCCCTTTATGCCTTCTATCAAGCTTCCACATATATGCTCGATTTGCTGCAGTTACTTGAATTACTGTAGTTTATTCTCTCGCAGGTTTGTGGTCAAGAAAAGGCAGAGTTACGTGACCAAGTTGCCAAGAGCGCCTCGCACCTCTTGACTCAAGCACTGAATGGCTCTCTTCCAAAAGACTATCAAGTGAATACACTGTCGGCTCCATTTGTTCAGATTCAAATGCTTAAGTGAGAGAAATATTTTTTGTAGTAAAAAACAAACAAAAAAACCCCAGCTATGAACTTGTCACTTTCTGATGTCTCTTCAAAGACTTTTTAAAGATATTGTTAATTTATGGAAAGTGATAAGTTGATACCTGCGCGAATCTTGAAAGAACAATGAAGTGAATAAGGCAACATGTAGGAATATTTGTGACACTGTGCTGGGAATAATTGGTTGTGGATACTTCAAGAGTTTTAGTTTGGGAAGATGCTAAAGAATCCACAGGTGTAATTATATGAATATTCTTTCAGAGTACTGCAGTCCTTGTCAAGTAAAGATTGGCGAATTCCAAATGAAGTTATTGTAGCAGTTGAATTGGTTTTAAGTCAGCCATGGGGAGGCAAGGAGATTGCTTTATATGCTGTCTTGCTGGAGTGTGTGTTCACAGTCACAGCTCTGCCACACAATGACAACTTACTGTCTAATATTCTTCAAGTAGTTTTAGGGTAAGTAGGAATAACTGAACACAAGTACATCATCGAGATTGAATAAATGACATTGAATGATTGAGTGTTGCTCTTGATTTTGGTCACCCTGTGTTAAAGTGGGGAAAGTGCTTGCAGAAGTGATTATAAATTTATTTGAAAGAAAATGACCAAGAAATTCAGTACCTTTGTTGTTTGTGTAGTCCCATCATCCATTTGTCTCCTTGTGTCTTGAATTTAGAAGTACAGTCAACCCTCGCTTTACGCGGTCCCACATTCCGCATTTCCAAGTTTACGCGGTACCCTGCCGAAACCGGAATGCTCACATTCCGCGGTGCGTGTACCCCTTTACGCGGAGAGCGGCTGGCGAGCCGCGCCATTTTTGGATCTAAACCTCCCGCCATGTTGTGTAAGCGGCCCGAGCAGGGTGCACATAAGGTCGCCCAGTCATCAAAACATTACCGAGTTCTTCACCCGCCACCCACCACAGCCGGCCCAAGTCAGTGATAGTGATAATTATAGTGAGGATATGGACTTTGAGGGGTTTGACAAAGAGGCCCTGCAAGCCTCTGTGGTGGATAGTGATACAATTGATACAAGTGATACAGGTGAGGGCCAATAATCTGCCCTCTGCCTCGGAACCAATCCCCCATCCCCGTGTGCCCAGCCATCTTTTCTACTAATGTAAGTGTTAAAAAACCTAATATTATTGGTATTTCTCTTAATTATTAATTGTGTGTGCATACCATCATAAAATTAAGAAGTTATTTTTACTACAACGTAGGTATTGTGTCTGAAAAAGTGGAGTTTGGGGGTCGGCCCGGTCTCTATTTCAATTAATCCCACATGTTATGTTGTTCACTTTATGCGTTTCTCACTTTCAACGGTACCATGTGGGTTGAATTAACCGTGTAAAGTGAGGGTTCACTGTACAGTAAAAACCTCATAATTCGAAATGCAGTTTTAGGGACTATAGCCCTTACGAATTATGAGGGTCACTTATCCGGAAGGAATGACAAACAAAACGACATTACTCTTCCGTCATCTGCCTCAATCAAAATTTAAGCATTTCTAGGTACAGTACCAGATTTAGGGTTATCAGACGTAATGGCTCAAACATTGGGCAATGATAGAAAAACAAGTGGAAGAAGCTTTCGCTCTTTCAATAAACCGTTAATTATTATTATTATTATTATTATTATTATTATTATTATTAACTTGAAGTGACCCTGACCTACTGTCCGACACATTTGCAGTATAGTACTTGTTTACTGTGCGGCGGGCGGGCGCATCCCATGGTGACATTTGAGTCCTGCATATTCATAAATGTCTTCCATAGCTCAATATTTTACCAAACATTGCAAAAATTTTAACATTTCGTAACAGCAAAACATTACAAATTATGGGTGATTTTGACTTTGGGGAGTAGGAATTCTGGGGTTTTACTGTAATGATGCATTGTTACAAAGATGCACTACATTGTACATGCTCACAATTTCTCCGAGAGTTTTATTGACTTGGTGACCATTACATAATTTATGTCTTCTGTTACAGGTATTTACTATTATAATAAGTAAAGTATGTTGGACCTCCAGTCATTTTATGCCCCTTTATGGTAAATAAAGAAACCCGCTTCATCATGTGTTTTGGGGAAAGAAGACCTGCAAGTAATAACTGTTTTATCTTTGAAAGAAGACACTTACTTCTACAGTATAGTTCCATGAATTTCACGTATATTTGCTTTTTCACAACTTTTTGTACAAAATTACTGAAATATAATTTTGTTTTAGGTTCCTCAAGAGCTCAAATGTTGACCTCAAGTATGTGGGCTTGAAGGCCCTTGCTAGTGTCTTCTCGGTGTTGGAGGAGGCACTCACACCTAGTCATCTGGAGGCTGTACTAGACTGTCTCTACCACTCTGATCCAAACCTCCAAGCCAAAACACTCAAGTTGCTTTGTACAATGGCCAATTCTCATAACTATCAGGTATTTTACTTATCAATACATCTTTGATTTATAAAACATCTTTAGTGATACGTCATGACTGTGTTTGTGTCTTCTTTAGATGGTTCTCAGGGTGACAGGATTATCATTTTGAACTGATCTGATTCATCAATTTACCTGGTGTCTGAGATGATTTAAAATTGGCCCTTGAACTAGATCCTCATTTATTAGAGAATAAAATAATAAATAACTTGGCCTTAATTACAGTAATATCCTCAGTTTATCTCTCAAGTCACTGTTGTTTGTCCCATTAGTTTATTTACAGTAAGACAGCTTCCTTGGTCCGTACCCTCTTTGCACCTTCTCCCTAAACATCTATAAAAAAAATCTGTATCAAATTTAATGCTATAAAAAAAATATAGTTATTGAGTACAAAATTTTATAATTGATTTTTCCTTAGGCAGTTTGTACCACTCTGCTGGAGTTTTCAGGCCGTACAAAAGATTCTGCCACACGCAGAACAATTATAGAGGAGCTAGGAACCATTGTAACCAAGCACTGTCAAGATGTGGCTTGGTGTGTGGAGCTTATCTTACCAATCATTCTAACTTCCCCAACACCTGACAGGAGACTTGCAGATGCTCTTGTGTATGTGTTGGGTAAAGGTAATTCTTGTTGCATTCTTTGTAAAATTATTTCCAACAGGTAGGATCCAGGTGGTAGGTTAATGGTTTATATTGTATGGATAAAATATTTAAAATTTTGACTAAGTGGACCAGGTTCATGTGTAAGATGAATTCCTAGCACTGTCTGTTGTTCTTGTTTCTCTCATCAGGGCATCTAAGAAGGCCTATAAAAAAGCCTAGAAAATCTCATTGCTTTAAGCTGAATACATTTTGTGCAATCTTTGGTGGGGATGGCTATTTTTTCCTCTTGCTTTGTAACACTAGGGGAGGTGACCTGTTACACTACACAATTTATGAGCCAACTTAAGGCATCTGCCATGTGGGTCTGGTATGGAAACAAGTGTGTACATAGGACATAAATGCATCTTCATTATCATAGATGGAACTTAAAAATTGATTAAAAAAAATATTCCTACCATATATGACTCCAGTTCAGAAAGTTTATTATATAGTTGAAGATTTATTATTGATTGTGGTAATTACATCCCTGGCGATGGAACAGCTTTGGTCATATGTTGCCGAATTAAAATAAAGGAGTAAAACACTAAAATTAAATAATGTAAGGTAAATAACGTAAGTAATTGCATGACTTTTGTAAAATAAATATTTAAACATTAATAGATAAAATTCAAATCTTGTGTAGAAGGCTGGCTTCTTCCACAAAGGAGAGGTCATCCCCTCCCATGCTACCCCCTGCCCCACCACCAAAGAGAGACAGTAAGACCTATCTCTCCCATTACTGGGAGAGGTGCTTACAACTAAGATCTCGAGATGAACCACTTTAAGTGTCCAACAGTCAATGGGATCAGGCAGTCATCACAGTGGAGAGGGGGGCGCATTCTCCATAAAAAAAACCATGAGTCAGCCGTGTGGGGCCAAGGCAGTCTCCCAGCAGCATGACAATCCCTGATACCCCCAGGCACCCACTGCAGGGTGGATGTTGCAGAGCTTGTTTGCTCCGACAGCATCCCACCTGCATTGCCAACTCGAGCAATTGGCAGCTGTTATTACTGGCTTCATATCAGAGGCAGGTAGAGGGAATTGATGTGCCACAGAGCAAGAAGCCGCTGCTTTAGCCACAGCAATAGCACACTCCTTACTTTCTCCCCCACATGGGCCAAAACCCAGCAAATACTGACTTTGCAGCCCCAACGTTGGATGAAAAATGGCTGTAAAATACTGTATCTATAACAAAGGGATGGGGTGATGAGACACTAAGTAATAAGTATTATTAAAAGTGACAAATGATGTAGAAGGTTAAGTTATTTACTGTATTTTATTTATCATATTACAATAGGAGAAAACAGCAGAAATTATTGAACAATGACAAGGAAAATCTGTTTGATTTTCACCTGTTTCAAGGACACGTTTTATCTCATTGGTCTAGATAATCCACAACTATTGTTTTCACCTTCATTTGCAGGATTTAGAGAAGAGAAGACTATTCAAGCCTCAACTGAAGCCTCCCAAGAATTGCTTCTGAAGATCTTCAGCCACAATACACTCTCTCAAACTTACCTCAGCCTCATAGCTTCTGTTCTTAATCTACATTATATCAGAGATCCAAAACAAGTATCTAAGTATTTCACCGACTCTTTCTTCGAGAAAGTTAAGTTCATGACCAATTTAAAGGAAAGTGACTCTGCCATTTTCCAGTGCCTTAAAAATATTGGACTTCACGATGAAATTGTATGTGCGGAAATTATAACATTTTTGCAACCTCATACAACCAAAGGAAATGTAGATCTTGCTGTGAGAGAAAAATCCAAAGAAATATGTATGTGGCTTACTAATCCAGAGCTCAGTTTAAGAGTCATTAAAAGACAGGAGGACATTTTGAATCGTAAAGTAACTCTTGACTTAACATTAAGCTTTCTTGATAAGTATGTTGTTGATTCTCTTGAAAATGGTGCTATTCCATATAAGCCATTCAGTGTAGTCATGGGAAACACTAGCATATTGGATAAATTGAGCAGTGATGTTCAGGAGACACAGTGGAACACTAACCCCAGCACCGGGTCTGATGATGGCCACTCCTCGACACCATCTACTGGCACTGGCCTTACTAGCGTCACCAGTCAGAGCAGCAATGTATTGAACAGGTATCTAATATTCTTCCTTTCTTCTCTCTGCTTGTAATTAATTCTCAATTGAAGATTAATAGTGAGAATTTGGATTTACCATAAAAAAGTGTGTTTAGTACAATGTCACAAAATTAGTTTGAAAAGCCTCATGTTAACACCATTTTCAACATAACTTGCAGTTTTGTGCACCATTTCCTAAAGTAAATGCAAAAAGAGTGAGGCTTTGTGTTACTATCTTTGAAGTTGGAGTGTTAGTTCTGAAATCCCATTTTACAACCAAGCCTAATTTAGGCAACTTATGTATTACCAAGTAAGTTTACAGATCAACCCAGGAACCCTCAACTTTAGTGGTTAGAACTTGTTGATTAATTTGTTTACATCTTCCCATCACTTCTTTATATCCTGAAGAGACCTAAAGTCACCAATCATGGTTAAAGATAATGAGTTGGCCACACTAGCATGTGAACTCCACATTCTTTATTTGGCTATAGTTACAAGCTGTCATTTCCCAGGTCAACCTTCAGTCACAAACCAGTTTCACTAACAGAAAGGCATCTGTTCAATCCAGACTAGTGGCTAGATTTTACCCGAGAAATAACAACTTGTAACCAAATGAGGGATGCAGAGCCTACACATGGAGATTGATACTCTCTATCTTCAACCTTGATTTGTGATTATTGTATCCAAAAGTCTCTTAAAATACCAGGATATGATGGGAAGGTCCTTACATTTCACTTGAAGACTTAGTTCGTGATACACGAGTTGCTCGAGCCAGACGTTACATTAATAAAGTTATTAATATTGCTTTAACATTGAATCCAGGAGTATGATTGCAAATACCAAGAGTGTGTGGAGCACCGAAGGTCGTATACGTCAGAAATCCGAAGGGGAGGAATCCATCAAGTCTCGTGTTGACTCGGCTTCTCAGCCAGTGGGGAGCCTCCAAGGAACTCTGCTTGGGGATGAGGAGGAGGAAGATGAAGTAACAGAGGGAAGTGTTGAACTGGCAGATGAAGCACAAGAAGATGAGAAAGAGAAAGGACTGGAAACCTCTGTCATTCAGAGGTCGCAGCTGACTCAGGCACTTCTGGCAGGACTTGGAATGACCAGGACAAAATAATGTACGTCAATGTCTCTCGAGTATTTGACCAAAATCATCTAGAAGAGAATTTATGATTGCAATAGCTAATTAACCCATGTGCTTTTGTACATGAAATTTGCACAAATTTTTCTGCAAAGTCCTTTAATGAATACACTGTATAAAACAGTGTACACAAGGAAAATTTTTTTATTCTTATAATTTTCAAGTGTTCATTAACATAAGCATAATGGTGCATATTAGTGACCCTCTAACCTGGCATTGTCTCTACTGATGCTGTACTGTACTATATTAATATAATTAAAAGATACAATCATTGCTGAATGAGTATGAATGAGTGAAGGAAATTAATTTTAAAGTAAATTAAATAATGCATAAAAGTTTTTTCCTGCCAAGATGCAGGCTAGTAAGAAAGTTGTGCTTGCTGTTAGTGAAACAGCTGTTTGCTGCGTTTGCATCCTGCTGAATGCTAAAACACATTAAATATCAAACTGGAAAAAATCTGTTAGCCAGTGCAGTTGGTGTCCGGTCTTTTCGGATTATTCCTTGACACTGGGTCATAAACTTGTTAACTCGGGGTGTGGTTGTTGTCAGCTTCTACAACTTAAACAAATTCATACCAAGGTGGTCCTAGGGCCAGCCATCCTTGGAACATGAGGGGTAACCATTATTATTATGGCCTCCATCAGTCAAGGGGATATATAAAGTAATAAGAAAAACCGAGTACTATATAATTGTTTTTATTAACTTACTGATGATTTTATACATATGAACATATAATACAGTACATGGAAATGTTTTTTCTGCATTACTCGAAACAAATCTTGATAATGAAAATAACTGTACGCAGCATCTCTGTAAAGAAAAGAAAAACATGATTAGAGGGAAATGTGGAAACACACATTATGGTCCTCAACTGAACCACTGACTAAGATCTGACAACCACGACAACCCTTACAAATTGCTCAGTCAAGCTGCAACATTAGAAAATTTTGTTCCAATTCCTTTTACTCTTGAACATATTGTATAATATAATATTTTCTGGTAAAATTCTATTACATTAAAAACAAATAAATTTCTATGAATTATATTGGCTACTAAGGTTGTTAAATATGAGTACAGCTAAGTCATCCAAGTCAAGTGATGTTTGCTGGGTTCTCATGATGTGTTCTCTAATAAATGTGAACCAATAATGTACCAATGAGTTTCCTTCTACATTTAGTCTTACATTTTCATACACAATATTGTCTCCTCTGTGTATGGCAATTCTTTATTATGCCCTCAGTGTGGGGCGAGGGGATATACAGTACCAATCAGTGTCTGTTTGTCATGAGTTTTCTATACAGTAATCAAAAGTACATAAGCGTCTTCAGTCAACCCAAGTGCAACACTTTCATTTGGTTGGTTTCTGTATTGCATTGTGTCCAGTAGGTCCCTTTCTAACAGCTTTTCAACTATAACTTTTAATCTCAGACTATGTCACAGACACTGGAAGTTGTCAGAGAGACAAAATGATCTGTTTCACTGACTGAGGCGAAGATGAAATCCAACTTCAATTAAAATCTTTACTATAATTGCAGGAATGGGCTCATGTGTTAACATGAATTTGGAAAATGTCCACCCCATATCTGACCATATTACTCCTAAAAGGTCCCACTAAACTAAAAATTATACAATGCATAAACAAACTGATAATCAGCTACAATACAACCACTTGTTCTTCACTTGCCTGATAATGAGCCACAGAGATCAAATTACTGTGCTGTACTAGTCTTCCTCTTCCTTTTTGAATTTTCCACTATAGAATGGGATGAACTGGGCAATTAACTGCCAGTCAGTAAAATAAATACCAAGTGTTGCAGCTCCAGCTCCAAACATAGTTGCAGATGGAAGCCTGAAATATGAGACCAATCAATACTAAAAACAAAATACTCTAATCATGTCTCGAGTATAGTGCAGTACTGTATTTTAAATGTGACAACAGGCAGTCCATGATTTACAGGATGATCATACAGTACATGTTAACCAATAAGCCAGTAATTATGGTATTACAATCCCCAATGTCATATGATCAGTTTTTCACTGTGTTTTACTCTACAATTTCCCTCATCCTTCATGCCCTACCCACTGTATATGATTTATGATTATACAGTAGATATAAAAAATAAATAAATACTTACAATTAAAATAGAGGTAATTATTTGGATTTTGACTTGTTTGTTTGGCAGATAATTTTGGTCTCATTTTGCACAGTAATTTTTTGGTTCAACTTCAGAGTTGAGAATCACGAAGAAAAAACATCTTTTTTTTTACGTTACTATATTTACCATTGAAAAGCAACAAATCATAACCTAACCTCTAGCCTAACCTAACCTTAGTCACATGCTGTCACTAAGTGGAGTCACAAAGTGGCTGGTGTGGAGAATGATCATAAGTTCAGAGGGGACTGAAACAATACCATCTTCAGTCAATATTTTTCCCCGCGGACAAAAGTTTAATTCGGAAGTTGAAAAAAAAATGACTATCTCCATTGCATTAAGCATCAAATATTGAGCAAAATGAGACCAAAATTATCTGCCAAACTAGCAACAGTCGAGATCCAAATGTTAGGTTAGGTTTCAATGCTTTGGTTTGGTCAAATTGTTGCATATTTTTTATCCCTCAATTTCCATCTACTTCGAAGCCATGTCCACTATGTGCAATCATTATTGTAGTTAATGGGGATGGGTAGATATCTCCATAACTATATATTTTCGACAGAAATTAAGGTCATGAAACAATTAAAAACATAATAGACATAATTGTCAATATTCATTAAGATTTCTGCCACACCGAATATGGATTTATGCTCAAATATATTTTAAGAAATTATTCAGTGGGTGATCAACATTCGAAGACTCTAAATTGGGATTCTCCGTTAATTCTTGTAATGAAATAACTCCAAAGGGTTGGCCAGTGGTGGAGGTAAAGTATAACATGTACCCAATAGCTCTGGTTTGATCTGGCTCAATGACGAAATCTTTGGCTTCGTTCAAAGTTCATACATTCCACAAATTCTTCTTTATATTGCTCTTAGTGCCCACATATGACAACAACTTACCAATGTTGAAGTTGCTGAGCTTGACGTCTCCCAATTGGAAACCTAGATAGGATTTTTTCAATCATATTATTAGGAGAAACAGAACCAGAGACACACCGGTGAGTTAATATGGCTGGCAGCTCTACTACAGGGACGGTATGTTATGTCCAATATATTTCCCTTTATCTTGGATCCGGTAAATATATCACAACATTAAAATTAGTTTTTATTACAAAAGGAGTTGATTTATTGAATATGGAATTTTTTTTACGAAAGTTAATAAATTATTTACTACAAATCCTCTGAATTAGTAAACTAAAATTATGGACTGTGTGTAACCAAGGATTATCAACCAAGTTAGCCAACTCAAGGCTGTAACCCAAAGACTATATACCCAAGACAGGAAGGAGTGTAATATAGTCAGTAATAATACTAGCTGGGACCTCAAGGAACAGTGACGTCATTTTATGCAGTCCCGAATTAGGAAAGCACTAGTGGTAGTTCTGTGACGTCACGTTGTTGTCTGCAGGTTTTGGACTACAGCCAAGCATAGCCATCTTATAATCAGTAAAATTATTGATGACACCATTATATTTCAGTTTAACTTTGTTGTCGTAGATACTAATAAATTCGTCATTTTATTAAAGAGAAAGGTGGATACATTTTGGATACTTTTATGAAGATTGTGGTAACGTTTTCATTTTCCCCACTATAGCCGAGAGTTATTTGCAAGAGGAGAAAGAATACACATCCACATTCACATCTAAGATCTTGAGGCAATGGAGTCAGTGAAAATTATACAGAAGTGTTTTCATTTTCTCTTTATATGTATACATACATGCATACGTAAATAAAGATTGATATGTCTAAAATAAATTGAAAACGTAAAAACATCAGTCATGACGTCACCGAATAGCTTTTGGACGCAGTCAATAGATGGCGCTATTATTGAGGTATCTGGCAGCTGAGTAGTACACACATTTGATATATTTTGTTGGAGCTTTCCTATCTTGAGTAGAGTATGTTTGCTATAACCCTTCGACTTGTATTAACTACCATAGTGGTCAAACACCTCCCACTGTGTTTGAGTAAATTTCTCAGTTGTCAAGTGGCTCCTACAATTGTCAAGTGACCCCTACAGTCATCAAGTAAGTCCCACAGTGATTCAAGTAAATCCCACAATAGTTAAGTTAGTCCCACAGTGGTCAAGTCCCACAGTAGTCAGATATCTCCCACAGTTTACACGTTAAGTATAATTTAATATACATCTTCTGTTACGAGGAATATTCATTATAAATATCCATTAGAGAATTTAGACCCTAGCCTTGATAACTAACAAACTGGTTGAATGAGTCCCGTAGTTAATGTTGTTTTCAGGGAATACGGCTGACAAGTATTATTTTTTATGGGTTTTTACAAGCCATAGGTGCATCTTCCCTTTCCTCTCCCATTCCGTCTCCACTTCCCCATTCCGTCTATCCCTTCCTCCCATTCCTATCTACCTCTCACTTATCTTCTGAGTGGTTCAAAAACATTATCAGGATAACCAATGTTGTTTAAATTAGGTTAGATTGGGTTAAGTTAGTAAAGCTTAACGTTAGTAATTAATACTCGTGAAATAAGCAGGTAATCCAATAATTTTTTCCTTGACTCCTCACTGTGTGCAATATATTAGGAAATACGAACGGAGAAATACAATAGGAGTGTGCGGTCTTTAAGTACAAGTGGACGAGCTCGCAAAAAAACGAAGAACACTCTCGGCAGGTGTTCAGTTCTCACGCCACACCTTAAACAATGACCAAGTGATAATTTTTCTCCTTGGAATACTGTACACTCTTGTGTTTTATCTGGAAATTAATTATAGTGTATGAAGTATTTTTTAGCATTTGGTGATAATAATAATAATAATGAACCAACGGAACAACAACTCACAGAAAGATTCCAGATTAAGTTTGTTTAATAAGACCGGATTGGTTTAATTTATTTGATTTGTTTCCATAAATAATTACTTCTGTTATGGTTCTGGTTATAGTATTTTGTAAACATTCAACATAACCCGTAGCCTTAAAATTAAGCACAGAGGCAGGTGCAGGGAAATGTTCTTTTTTGGGGAAAAAATAACGAATCCAGTTTACGTCAGTTGGCGCTCATACACCCACCAGCTCCACCCACTAGGTATTTTGTCCTTGTAATCTTGTCATTTTTTTATATATTTTTTTTTACGGGATTAGCCCACCAGAGCACAGGTCAATGATCCACATCAGGGCCTGGGGGCGAAAATATAACAATAATAATAACAATAATAATAATAATAATAATAATAATAATAATAATAATAATAATAAAATATTAAATAAATATATATAATATATTAAAAATAAAAATAAATACAAAAATTAAAAACAAATCATTAGTGAGAAACAATATATGTATATTGTGTTGTCAAAGTAAGAGAAACAATTGAGACCTGCCATTGTGTGTAAATGGGGCAGAAAGTCAGACCAGCAACCTGGAACTTGATCACAATTTTCGTGATGCCATATGGCAGCAGGGTCTACCATTAGGCAACACATTATGCTTCCAACATCTTCCCAGGCGGTAGTACCTTCCAATGTCGCGTTGTATTAATGGCACTATATTAATTTTTGTTTACATTCCCCCGCTTCTTTGGTCACCTCAGCTCTTCCCATCCACACCAGCAGGTCACCCCTCCTCTACCCTCCTCTCGGCTCTTCCCTCTACCGTGATAGGAGGCTCTGTTTTCATTATTTCGTAATATTCATATCATCTTTACAATCGCCTGGGCTAAGACATCCAAAAAGCTTTTTTAGGTTGCCCTGTATCTAAATAAACAAATAAAAATAAAATATCGTAGTAGACGATATTATAGAAGCTCAAATTGAGGAAAAACGCATTGGATACTAAAAGAACATTTTTAGTCGCCAATAATAATGGTTGCAATCCCGTGAAAAAGTTGTTTAGCGCTGGCCGAGATCTGTAGATACAGATTGTCTAGTCTGAATATTAAAAAAAAAAATCAGTTGCATTGAACATTAATCCAATAGAACTTCAGTAAAATATATATGTTTACTTTCAGCCACGTAGGTAATAGCATATTTACCTACAGATGCTGCCATAATGATTATCACTAATTTAGTACAGTACTCGAGAAATGCAAATACTTGTATTACCTTTTTTCAAAATACCGTTTCAACTATACAGTATATGCCTGTGTTTGCCTTTCTAGAGTACTGTACTAAATTGGTGATGATCATTATGGCAGCATCTGCAAGTTAGTAGGTAGTTATTACCTGCGTGGCTGTGTCTAAAATAGGGAAATTTTGTGACAAAAAAGGGATTTTTGAGGGTACATCAGGGAAATTTGGCAGTGGATATCTGGCCGCCCTGTAAGACTATGTACTTGCTGGAAAACATCGTTGACGCGCGGGAAAACAGCATGTGATGTTCCTCTTGGCAATGTTAAGTGTAATATCTTTCGCTGCTCTTCCTGAAAACTACAACATGGTGTGGGATATTAACGTTGTGGAACAGTAAATACAGCTATAAATCAAGAAACTTCTACTGGCAGTTACGGGTAGTAATCCCACTGCAGGTTTTATGGCTCGGTTACGCTTTGACATAAGGTAAGAGGCCGGGTACAAAGCTGTATAACTGAACACACTGTCTCCAGTAACAGGAACGAATCACTGAGTATAGAACAACCACAAGTGATCGCGGGCATGCTCGTGCCATTGTGAGAGTTTGAACGCTCGTGACAGCGTACAGCGAATGAGGGTGTGTCAAGTCCATACACTTGCATGGTTAATTAGGGTGCGCCAAGTCCGTAGATTTGCATCGTTTTCCATCGTAAATTAAATTGTTAATTAATGCCTTCCTAAAGAAACCATCGACATGGGACCAGGTTTGTTCCTCTCTACGAATTTTTTGCTATTTTTCCACCAAGTTTGATGAAAAACGATTGTGCCGTTTCAGCTGCCCAGAACAGACACACACACACGCCTAGTCCTATAGTATATTAGATATTAGATACACTGGCTTATTCTATCGGTTCACAGAAAATGCCGATTCTGACTAGGATGCTTGGCCTTGTCATTTCGAAGTACAGTAAATTAAAAATCGTATTTTCCCTTCTTACCGGATTTACATTCTATACATGTCCGTATATATCTTAATTTTTAATTATTGAGGGCGGGGGTGTTAACCTAGGCTACGCACTGAAAAGACGTTATTTATTAAAGCTTTGTTACATATTATACTGTACCAACAAAATTAACAACCTATCGGAACATCAAGGAATACATAGGGATACTGCCAGCCTACACGACCCGAGGCCAGGTAAGGTAGTGTGGCTTGGGTGTCGTCTGGTGTCAACCGTAAATAGTTTAGTGAGGTGTGAGGCAGACGCCATCTCGTCAACAGCCCGTACGCCGTTATTCTCTATTCCTACTGGGGAAATTTAGCAAGTGATTCTAGGAATTTAATATTTGTCTGTTTTTTTTAATAACTTGCTATAGTCTACAGTAAGATACACACTTTAGTAACAAACAAAACGGTTCTGGTAGATTCATACTTCAGCCGTGTAGAGGGAATGAGTCACCTCGCACATGATGAAAAGAATCAGTAGACAGCAATGCCGCAGACGTGAATCTTGACCTGTGTTACCCGGACACATACTGTACTGTTGTTGATATAAAAAGTTTGCAGCCTAGAGCCATGTGTAACGGACAAGATGAATAAATGTATGTAGGTGGTGAAGTCAGTGAGTTTGTATGCCTGTCTCAGCTCTGGTGCCGGCTGGTCAATTATATATATTGAGAGCACCAACAGCAGCAGGATGCATAGACAATATCCCACCAGATGGTTCCCAAGTACACAATATCCAGATCACTTGAACGTTCGCTCTCCCTAGGTTAATCATCCGAACGCTACCTGGGAGAGGGGAGGGGGGGGTACAGTTAGTCAAGTTAGGTTAAGTTTGGTTAGGAGGTTAATTTAGCGTCAGGGTGGTTAATCTTGAGGTGAATCTTCAAATGATCACAATATTTCGCCACCAAAGTGATAGATGCAATATACCTTGAGCTTGAGTCTCTAAGCTGTAATACTCAACAAGATCAGATGAGCTTACTCTATGTCTCATTAAGGGAATACAGTAAAGGGACAGGAATTTATTTGATCTTTTTTATAAGAGGAAGCAATACTAACAGCAGCTCTGCACGTATAGCAGACTGTGTGCAGTGTACGCGCAATACTGTATGCTGAATCAAAGTTTCCCCCTGCATCTGGTACTGGTGGAGAATATTTAAGTACGAATTTTTAGAGGTGCACCTATGCCCTGCATTTGAAGATGTGCTGGGCAGAGACGTGTGCAGGGGGAGAGTTGCACTGCCGCGAGGTGCAAGGAATTAAATATGAGAGAGGGAGGGCCTGTGGGTGTGTGTGTGTCGTGTTCGGGAGGCGTTCACTGACTGGTTATAACAAAGTGACCAGTGGTAGGGAATTACCACTAACGGGACTGCTAACTATTACAATTTATTCGTTTTAGCGGGAGACTAGAACCTAACCTCACCTGACGTTCCTTAGGTTAATTAAGTAGTCAGATAAGTTAGGTTAAGCTAGATCTAAGTTCGGTTACGTTAACTTAGGTTGTTCGTAAACCTGCTGTGCTGATGACGAATTGACGAAAATGATTACGTGGTGTTTATTGTCTATATCGATAACAATATTACAGAAATGATTGTTAATTTATCAGGACAATTAGACCACATGTGTATAATCGTCATCACTTTACAAAATATGTCTGTGATGGTGACTATTAACTAAACCCATGCATTTTTAATTACCTGAGAATCACTGTAATTAACGACGTTGGTTGATACAGGTGTGATGAATTTATTTCCTGATTATTTTATTATTTTGTGTAAATAATCTAAAAGAGCCTAGATAAGTTACCCTAATCCAGTCCAGGCTAGGTTAGGTTAAGAAAACGTTAAGTTACATGAGTTACAGGTTAATATAGGATTGGACGCGGTAATGTTACTCTATGTAGACGAGATAAAATCCAAGAGCAATTTTGATGCAATTTTCTCCACCACGTTAACGTAATAACTTAGGTGTAATTTTAGATGCCTTCTCTTGTATTAGGAGGATAATATATAGCGTAAGGCTGTTTTAAGATTTCCTTTGTGTTATAACTGTGTTTACGGGCGATGAACTCTGACCTTAGGCAACGGTATGAGCTAGAGTGAGTCACAAGCTAAGTGTTGTGTGACTGTGTGCCAAGGTGAACTAACATGACATGGTGTGTGCGGGGAATACTTGATCACATAAGTTAGTTGTGGAAGATTTCTGCACTTGTTGGTTCTTTAATTGAAGGGTGTGACCTCTAGTGGAGCGGCCATGCACTAGAACTGAAGGGGGGGGGGAGACGTTGCGATCAAATAATGCTTTTATATTACATTTTATTCGATATAATTGCCAGTTTGCTCCCCACTTTAAACAACAGAGGAGATTGCTTTAGTTCTGTCGTTATCAAATAGAACTTTGTAATCAACTCAATTGAACTCGTTCGTAATCCCTCGTAATATCACTCACAGGTCGCCTTTGTGTATGATTTATTTCAGCATATCAATTACTGTTTATTACACACTTAATATCATAATGTTTAAGGAAGGGTAACTCGATCACTTGTGGGTTCAAAGTTGTTATTGTTCCTATTCTTAACACAGTCTTGCGTCCATGTCATTCAAACTAACAACACTGTTTATATGACACTTGATCACATCCAGTACATGACAGAAATCAAGTTGGCATTAATATCTCAGGTTCATTCACCCAAACATAAGGTTAGGACCACCAACTTCTGTACTGTATATAGTAAGTCTTGTTTCCGTGTGGGTGTAGAGTGTAGACCATTGTTTGCATGTTTGTACTGCTCTGTTTGTAATATCAAATAGTCAAATAGTTTTATATTCGCGCTACTAAATTGAGAGGAGGAATCATAATTTAACCACAGTTTTTCCATGTAATGACTGCACCTAAAATAAAGTAATATCGTGAAATGACGGAAAACTTTAGCAATTTTTGTAATGACTGAGTGCAAAAGTCGTTTCCCGAAATGGCTTATACATAGATTGACTATAACATAGACAATATATACCGGTACATGTTAAATCAATGTGTGTGTGTGAACAGAAGTAAATGAGCTGATGTGACACTGTGTATATGGTGAGAAGTGTGGGTGGAGGGAGGTGGGTAGAGGTGGATGACCCTGGGGGGGTGTGGGTGTGGTATGGATGGGAGTGGAAAGGAAGGAGAGTGAAAAAGGTTTGGCTGACGGCATCAATATGACCTTAGAGATAGTACATGTTGGGTTCAAGGTCGTTCATCCTGGTAATAAAACACTGCCATAGAAAATTAAACCAAGTGAACGGTGCGCAGGACGGTGTAGCCTTGTACTCCCATACCATCACCAGCCTGTGTTGTGTCGGAGTCAGATGGACATTTAATAATAATATTTAATGGAGATAAAATTGCATAAACAAGGACCTTAATGTGAAATCATTCCAGAACGTGGTGCTGCCGTGTTCGACCATCTCCTGAGGCCAAGATACACTCAGTTTGGATCTTAGTACCGGGGTGCATTAGGGTGATGGCACGTATGGTCACTGGGGTGAAAATAAACCTTGCAGGGATCTTGTGGCGAGCTGTTGGCCTGAAGGTAGGGAGCGCCGCAGCCACAAGTGTTCAGTCTTCAGCACACCACAGTCAAGGTAAGACGGCTACTGCAGGAGGCGGTGACGTGGCTGACCGAGTGTATAGAGAAGGTACTCTGGGAGGTGACATCTGGTGGTCATAACGCACACGAACTCATCCATTACAAGTTGAGGTTTACAGACACACACACACACACATGTTTCCATAATACTAGCACAATATAATAGCGTATAATATATCTACGGTATAAGATTGTAGACTATAAAGGTACCATAATTGATTATCTAGAGTCTCACCAATCACCGTAGGAGGATAGTTTATGGAGGGGCCTAGAGCGAGGTGCTGCGGGGCCCAGTGTTAAACAGGTTATAGAGGAAGGACACAAGACATCCAACACCTCACCTCACCTAACCTAACCTCACATAACCTAACCTCACCTAACCTAACCTAACATAAACCAACCCAACTTAACCTAATTTGATTTAACCTAATTCAACGTCACGTAACCTAATCTAACCTCACCTCAACAAGAAACTCAACACACAGTCGGACACAGTAAACAGAGGCACCTCACTGACTTCAGGTGACAAATACTGACACGACAATTAAGGCAAGATGATAAAAACAGAGGAGGTGGTGGAGGGGGGACGCATCTGTCAACACTGTGGTGATTTAAGAACTGGTTAGGTGACAATAGACTTACAGGTCAAGGTGTGCGTCAGACAATAGACTTACAGGTCAAGGTGTGTCAGACAATAGACTTTACAGGTCAAGGTGTGCGTCAGACAATAGACTTTACAGGTCAAGGTGTGCGTCAGACAATAGACTTTACAGGTCAAGGTGTGCGTCAGACAATAGACTTTACAGGTCAAGGTGTGCGTCAGGCAATAGACTTACAGGTCAGGGTGTGCGTCAGACAATAGACTTACAGGTCAAGGTGTGCGTCAGGCAATAGACTTACAGGGGTGTGCGTCAGGCAGACTTACAGGTCAGGTGTGCGTCAGACAATAGACTTTACAGGTCAAGGTGTGCGTCAGACAATAGACTTACATCAGGTGTGCGTCAGGCAATAGACTTTACAGGTCAAAGGTGTAGACAGACTTTACAGGTCAGGTGTGCGTCAGACAATAGACTTTACAGGTCAAGGTGTGCGTCAGGCAATAGACTTACAGGTCAGGTGTGCGTCAGACAATAGACTTTACAGGTCAAGGTGTGCGTCAGGCAATAGACAGCAAGGTGTGCGTCAGACAATAGGGTCAAGGTGTGCGTCAGACAATAGACTTACAGGTCAAGGTGTGCGTCAGACAGGTCAGGTGTTAGACTTACAGGTCAAGGTGTGCGTCAGACAATAGACTTACAGGTCAAGGTGTGCGTCAGGCAATAGACTTACAGGTCAAGGTGTGCGTCAGGCAATAGACTTTGGGTCAAGGTGTGCGTCAGACAATAGACTTTACAGGTCAAGGTGTGCGTCAGACAATAGACTTACAGGTCAAGGTGTGCGTCAGGCAATAGACTTTCACAGGTCAGACGTCAGACAATAGACTTTAGGCAGGGTGGTGCGTCAGACAATAGACTTTACAGGTCAAGGTGTGCGTCAGGCAATAGACTTTACAGGTCAAGGTGTGCGTCAGACAACACTGGTCAATAGACTTTACAGGTCAGGTGTGCGTCAGACAATAGACTTAAAGGTCAAAGGTGTGCGTCAGGCAATAGACTTTACAGGTCAAATGTGCGTCAGACAATAGACTTTACAGGTCAGGGTGTGCGTCAGACAATAGACGTTACTGGTCAGGTGTGCGTCAGACAATAGACTTTACAGGTCAAGGTGTGCGTCAGGCAATAGACTTTACAGGTCAAGGTGTGCGTCAGACAATAGACTTTACAGGTCAAGGTGTGCGTCAGACAATAGACTTTACAGGTCAAGGTGTGCGTCAGACAATAGACTTTACAGGTCAAGGTGTGCGTCAGACAATAGACTTACAGGTCAAGGTGTGCGTCAGACAATAGACTTTACAGGTCAAGGTGTGCGTCAGACAATAGACTTTACAGGTCAAGGTGTGCGTCAGACAATAGACTTTACAGGTCAAGGTGTGCGTCAGACAATAGACTTTACAGGTCAGGGTGTGCGTCAGACAATAGACTTAGAGACTATACTTAAGCCTTGTTTACCTGGCGAGGATATACAGTACCTGGAGGCTGTGTGTGTGTATGTATGTGTGTGTGTGTGTGTGTGTGTGTGGAACTATCTAGAACAAAACAGACAAAGAGGTACGGTTGGTTACTGTTGGAATGCTAGTAAAAAAATTAAATAAAAAACTTCAACCCTCCCTCCTCCTCTCCTTACCCTTCCCATCCCACCTCCCCATCCCTACCCATCCCCATCCCACCTCCCCATCCCTTCCCATCCCACCTACCCATCCCTACCCGTCCCCATCCCACCTCCCTACCCCTCCCATCCCTTAAACATCAACACTTAAAATCTAATAAACATCTCAAAATCACAACTTACAACATCTTCAGTCATTATAACAATCTACAACTTGTGTTAAAATGTATACTTTAATATATTAGTTGGGTACTGGGTGTTGGTTGCCCTCGGGGGGTAGGTGAGGGCCTGAACCTGGTGCTAGTTATGGTCCAGTTGTCTTGCCTTAGGTGATGGTGGTCGTGTTGGTGGTGTAGGTAGTGGTGGTGGTTGTCGTAATGATGATGATGTAGATAGTACTGGTGGTAGTAATGGTGGTTGGTACTTATGGCGAGTCTAGCTTACGTCTTTCCTATCCTCAACCTTTCATTATAAACTAACATTATATATTACCCTCATTATATCAAGTCTTCACATTATAATAAACTCGTATACTTCACTTGAATAATTTTATATATTAAATTTTTTTTTTCCTTGACTTTTGTTTATGAAATTTTATTACTTTGGTTTTTCATATTTTTAAAAGATTTCTTAGTGGAGTTTATATCAGAATTTAATCTTTGTCTGTTCCTAGATTCTTACCTTCCTTGAGAGAGAGAGAGAGAGAGAGAGAGAGAGAGAGAGAGAGAGAGACTCGATACTTCACCCCGAGATTAATATCCAAACTTATTCAACCATTTACCTTTACAGATCACTTACCAGCACCTAACACTCTCTTACCCCGAGAGATAGACACGGAATAATGCACACTATCACTCGTTCATGTCCATTTAAATAATGGTCACGTAGAAGAGTATTGGGGAATTATTATTAACTCATGTTCTGTAGATGTTGTGGAAGCTGTAGGTTGTGGGTTATAATGGTGGTGTGTGGGGAAAACTGAGCCTTGGTTTATCTTTCATCCCAGACAGATATACAGACAGACACAGACAGAATAATGAGATATTCGTCTTTCTGCCAGTAGACGTTGGATGTTATTGTCTTGGTGTGTTGGCTAGGTCGTGACAGTGAGGCACAGTTAACCCCTATGGCGGTGACCACGATGTATTGGTACTAATAACCTTCGTCACCCCAAGAGTTAGTCCAGAATGACCTTGAGTAACCTACGAGTGGGAGGGTGAGAGGGAGGGAGGGTGAGGGGGAATGATGGAGTGAGTGGTCCTCGGGGTGAACTGGACTGTTGCCGTCTGTTCCTCCACCATCTTCTGTCATATGCCTCACACGGATGTACTCTAGAAGGACTCTCACTGTTTGGACTCTCCCTGCTTGGACTCTCCCTGCTTGGACTCATTATCGGCACGAACTGTTCCATGAGTACACAACCGTTGTTCCAGAGAAAGTAGTTGTGACAGTACTCCTTTAGCTTACTGCCGTCACCTCTAGTGGAGCGGCAGTAACCTAACCTAACGTTGAACGCAGATGTCAGCTGATTGTGTTTACATTATCAGGCAGTGTGACCTCCCCCTTCCCCTCCTCCTCCCCCTTCCCCTCCTCCTCTTCCCCTCCTCCTCTTCCCTCCTCCTCTTCCCTCCTCCTTCTCCACCTTGAATACGATGACTTAACCCCTTTGAGTACGATGACTTAACCCCTGTGAGTACGGTGACTTAACCTTTCGTTTCATTATTGGTGAAAGTGACCCACGAGGTGTCAGCAGAATAGCACCAATCCTATATCTGTCTCAGTGTGTATTTGTGTAGTCTTGTCTAATTTAAGTTTGGTTAGGTTAGGTTAGATTCTGTGATAGAGCATTACGAACTTGACGTCACGTGCTCTAACCAATTAGGCTCTAGCTTAAAAACATGACGTCACGTGCTCTAACCAATCCGAGTCTAGCTTAAAAACATGACGTCACGTGCTCTAACCAATCAGACTCTAGCTTAAAAACATGACGTCACGTGCTCTAACCAATCCGAGTCTAGCTTAAAAACATGACGTCACGTGCTCTAACCAATTAGACTCTAGCTTAAAAACATGACGTCACGTGCTCTAACCAATCAGACTCTAGCTTAAAAACATGACGTCACGTGCTCTAACCAATCCGAGTCTAGCATAAAAACATGACGTCACGTTCTCTAACCAATCAGACTCTAGCTTAGAAACATGACGTCACGCTTTCAAACCAATCAGAGTCTGGCTGATGGACGTTCTTTTGCCGCCTGTGTGATAATATAAAAGGAATATCCAGGGAAATAATCTAACTCCAGGAGCGTTTGACCTTTGACCCCTAACAAGTTGACAATACTGTAATGGTCAAGTTGTAAATAGATGGTGTTGTGTGTGGGAGCTGTGATAAGGTTATGCTGTAGTGTGTGTGTGCGTGTGTGTGTGTGTGTGTGTGTGCGCGTGTGTGTGTGTTGAGGATTGAGTGTTTATCTATTATCTATTAGGTCTTATCTATCAACAGGTGTGTGTGGGGGTGGTTGAGGGGGCGACGCTGGGGTGAAAGGTTGACGTCAAGGGTGTGGGTAGGGGGGCGTCTTGAAGGGGTGAACAGATACACTTCAATATTTTAGATAAGGTCAGAGGGAGATGGAAGACCCTGAAGATATACCATATGTATGGCGACCCACTGAGAGAGAGAGGGAGAGAGGGGGGAGAGAGAGAGGGGGGGGTAGAGAGAGAGAGAGAGAGAGAGAGAGAGATGCATGGAAACGGAACAGCTGTTTAATGTTTACGTGAATGAGAATTTATTGAATATAAACCTAAGTTACAGTCCCTTTAAATCACCTAGAGTGTTCTAACGTGTGGGCGACTCATCATCGTGAACCACCGGGCCGGGGAGGTCGATAGATAGGTAGATAGATAGATAGATACATAGCTCTGACAGCACCATTAGTACCACCATCACCACCACCACCACCAACACCGCCGCCACCACCACCACCAACACCACCGCCACCACCACCATCACCACATCACCACCACCACCACCACCATCACCACCACCGCCACCACCACCACCACCACCATCATCACCACCACCACCACAACCTAACCAGCCGTAAAAACCTGTTTTACGTGAGCAGAATATTGTGTTGTTATTGAGGGAGGGAGAGGGGTGGGCAAGGGGTGGGTAAGTGGTGGGCAGGGGTGGGCAGCCTTTCAATACAGTAATGAACATGACGATTATTTTGGTCACGGTGAGAGGAAACAAATTAAAATATATTATATGTTGTTTTGATGGACTGACAATATTACCTATGGTCTGTTTACTTATTACTTCAAATTACTTATTTTTTTTGGGGGGGAGTCACCTGAAGATTAACCCTCTCTCACCCTAGTTTATTTCACTTAAAGATTAACCACGTCTTTTTAACCTAATTTAACCTAATCTAACTTAACACACTAACTTAACCCAACCTTTCTTTCCCACTGTATTTATTCTCTCTCTCTCTCTCTCTTTATTATCTGTTTATCATTTATAATATCATTTGTTTTCTATGACAGATGATTGGAGCGACGATGATGGTGATGACGGTGGTAATGGGCGTGGGTGGGTCTTCCATGGTCCGCACGCCCACTTTCTTCTACACGCCTACCTTCCACCACACGCCTTCCATATTCCACCCGCCCACCCTCTATTGTGAGTTCAGCGACGGTCATTAGGTAGATACTGTCTCCTTGGCCTAACTACCACACGTGTTGTAACGAGGCGGAAGGCAATGGGAATCACCTACCATAATTACCATGAATATTTACGTCACATATACTACTGGATGAATGCATAAATATACATAAACTATATACACTATTGAATTTATATATAAACATACATAAATTATATACACTACAGGATATATACATAAATATACATACGCCTCTTGATAGTATATACATAATACACATCTCCTACCTCACACTGCCGGGAGTTTGTGGAAGCGGGGCTGTAAAGTGTTCAGAGGAAAACGAATCCCCGCCTGTGAAGTGTTCCAGGAATTTCTTTTATACATGAAGTGGTATCCGATTCCTTTGATGGCTTCGTGGAAATTTTTTTTTTTTTTTTTTTTTTTTTACTTGTGTTTGTATTGAGATTGTATGTTTGTTTTGTGTTTTAGTTTCTTTTTTTGTCCATTTCTCTGTTTGTCTTTCTGTGTGCGTGATACTAACTAATCCCGTGTGTGAATTTCAGCACATGAGTTTCTAGTGACGCGGTTGGCTGCGGATCCCTCTGATGCTAACCTCCCGTGTGACGCCAAGGGCTTTTACATCCACCCAAAGAACTGCTCTAGATTTTACAGGTAAGTTCCTTCATCCTCCACGTCCTTGTGTATTGATATCTGTCTCATCAACTCTAGTAAGTCACTGACATTCCCATGGAAGGTAACTCCCACGGTTAACTATCCAGGGTAACTCCCACTCATACTTTTATTGTTTCTTGAGTATAAATTTGTGGTATGTGACAGGTGTAGAGTACAGGTGTGGTCTTCGGCAGGTGTGTAGACTACGTGGGGACGGGAGATCTCTTCAGTCGCTACGTGTTTGAGTGTCCAGCAGGCCATGTGTTTGCCGCTGTGAAGGCCACCTGTGTCCCCGGCACCTGTCAAGATAACCTGTCGCCCTCCATGTCTCCTCCTACCAGTCCTATGCAGCCGCCCGCAGATACCACCCAGCCACCCAATGTGATTCCCGGGGAGGTGTTTTCTACAGAAGGCCCCGTGCCACCCCAAACAGAAGGCCCCGTGCCACCCCCCCCGTGCCAAACAGAAGGCCCCGTGCCACCCCAAACAGAAGGCCCTGTGCCACCCCAAACAGAAGGCCCGTGCCACCCCAAACAGAAGGCCCTGTGCCACCCCAAACAGAAGGCCCTGTGCCACCCCAAACAGAAGGCCCTGTGTGCCCCACCCCAAACAGAAGGCCCCGTGCCACCCTGTGCCACCCCAAACAGAAGGCCCCGTGCCACCCCAAACAGAAGCCCCCGTGCCACCCCAAACAGAAGGCCCCGTGCCACCCCAAACAGAAGCCCCCGTGCCACCCCAAACAGAAGCCCCGGCCACAGGCACCACCCAGGTTCCTTCACCTCAGGTAGGAAACTTTATCTCAGACAGTTATATACAGGTCTCCACACAGACAGTTCGACACTTTACCCAAGACAAGTGAAAATCCCGACTGGGTATCTGATAATATATTGAATATCATTTACTATGTTTTTTAAAAGAATTTTGTATTTATACTTCTAAATTAGTTTTTTTTTTTACATTAGTTTATCCTGAAAACATAATCAAAATCCTCCTCTTCCTTTTAAACCCTAAGTGAATCCCAGGACATAAGTGTTCGAGTACATATTTATACAGATCACGTTTGAGTATTGTTCAAGGTGATCAAAAAGTCCTTGTGCACCCAGAACAATTAACACCATAATTATTTACCTTATTTCACTTATAACAATATAGGTATAACAACGAACAACTATATTAGTAATCATTTCAGATGCACAGGGACTTTTCGATCTCCCTTGTTAATTTCTCCCACATGATCAGAGTACCCAACAACAACACAGCCTTACCCTTCAATCTCTTTAACTACCGGAACAGATGAGCTTAGTTCGATCTATGTCAAATTATGTTGTTTATTAACCTCCCTCTCCCCCACCAGACATGTACGGGAGCGAGATACGTGCAGCATGAAACCCACTGTAACGTCTACCATCCGTGTGACAATGATCGTCTCCGCTATGTTTGTCCAGCGGGCACCGTGTTCGACCAGCCTCGCCAGATGTGTAGACTCAGCTCCTTCGGTAAGTTCATCTCTCGTATATATTATAGTCTTCCTCTTTCTTCTTCCATCTCTTTTTTTCTATTTTCTTCTGGTGCTCCTCTAATCCTTCTTCTTTCTACGGACTTGGCACACCCTCATTCGCTGTACGCTGTCACGAGCATTCAAACTCTCACAAGGGCACGAACGTGCCCGCGATCACTTGTACTGGTTGTTCTTTGTCTCGGTCCTTCCTTCCTTCCTTCCTTCCTTCCTTCCTTCCTTCCTTCCTTCCTTCCTTCCTTCCTCCTCCACCCATCGTACTCGTTTTTCCTCGTGTCCTCCACCCATCTCTACACACCCGTCACCACCCTCCTCCTACACTGTGTCACCATGAGCCTGTCACTAAGGACTGTGAGGAGTACAAGGAGCGTTTGACTGCATGTGCTGACGTTCTTTATGATACGAGCCTTAGTGTTGAAGGGTAAACAATATATTAAAACTGACTCTTGTTACAGACGAAGGCTTGTGTACAAATAAGGCCATCCTACCGGTGAACTATCTGAGGACAGAATTGGTGGAAGGTCATCTACAGCTGCCAGAGTCCTTCGAGATGCCGCATGTCACTCCTGATAACATAGTTCAATCCCCATCCAGTTTCCAAGGTGCTGTTCAACCCTTACTCTCGGGGACTCACCTTGTGGCTTCTCCTACAACGAGTGATCTCTTCAGGACAGCTGAGTTTGTGTATCGGCCCAGCATGAAACAACCTATCAACCCCATCCACCTGCCGGCATACAGTCCATTCCCTTATACAATCTTCCTCCCACGAAACCTAGGGGCCTGAGGGACATGTTAATGCCCAGGACAGGACAGAGCAGTATACAAGAGCGTCATACGAAGAAAAATAACATCACCTGAAAAGATATGACGGCAGGTGTTGGTGTGTTTATTTACATTCGTTTTACAGTAGTTACATAGATTGAAATGTGACAGTTATTTAGGAAACCCTTACAGTATCTTATGCACCAGCAAGAGTAGTTACAGTAGTTGTGTAAGATTATGTATTGCAGTTTTTATTTACAGTAGTATCAAAATTATTTATGTAACCGTAGTTGTAGTAGCAGGTACAGTAATATAATCCTTCCTGTAGCTAAATTATTTCTGTATTATTAGTTCTTGAGTTTTGTATTATTATTTACATTATTTCTAGAATATTACAAAACCATGAAGTTATTTGTGTTTTTATATATTTTTTCCAGTTTATAAATACTTAATCACCTTTTCTGAGTTTTTTTTAAATATCTTATACATTATTATTTTTTATATCAAATCCCATGTATATTTTTTTTTAGTATTTAAATGTATCTTTAAATTTTTTCTTCATCACCACAATCATTATTTTTTTGTATTAACTTTCTTAGTCTGTTCTGATTTATATTTACCGTTTTGGGATTTTTGGGGGGAATATGAATTAATTTCATTTTACTTTTTAATCTTTTTTTATGTAATCCACATCCATTTTCATGTATTCAAATCGTATTGCGTAATTTATGTCTACAGAATAAGTCAGAAATTCCTTCATTTTGACAGATTCGAGCTCAGGTGGTTACAGAAATAGTTAGGTTTACTGCCATTACAGCATTTTGTAACTCAGATGGTTACAGTACAGATATTGTCAATCACTTCCATTGTAACACATTCCACCTGTACTAATTGATCCACTCCATACAGAAGTTAGTTATAATTAATCACGGTAAGATTAAATTTATCCACTTTCAATGAGGTTAAATCAAACTCACATTTTAACATTGTTCTTTAATGATATGTTAAGGCTTTCAGGGAGTAGGGAGAGAGAGGGTCAGGGAGGCAGAGGGAGAGTCAGGGAGGGTCAGGGAGGAGGGTAGATATGACGGTGTCGGTGGGGATCTGGTTATCATATATATATATATATATATTGCTAATACAAGAGTCATGTCATCAATGTCCTCATGTATAAGTTTAATCAGTATGAACCAGTCAGACTAGCGTACTGCATCTACCGTAATGAATGACCTAACGAGTCTAATAAAAAGTTTTGGGTTTTATAAATTCTCAAAACCACCAAAGAAGAATAAGTACAAAAATTATGGCATTCTAACTAATTAAGCATCATTATATATGAAAATAAAGGCTATTATATTATTATTATTCTTCTCCCACCAAAAACCCTGTACCAAGACTTCATAGATTCTAATATGGGTTGTTGTGGCGTTTGTCATATGTTTTCACGACTGTTCATTTCATCTATAATTCAGCGTGGAATCTATCGTTTTTCTTTTGTTTTCTCGACGGCATTTTCATCTTCCTGGAATCTATCGTTTTTCTTTTGTTTTCTCGACGGCATTTTCATCTTCCTGGAATCTATCGTTTTTCTTTTGTTTTCTCGACGGCATTTTCATCTTCCTGGAATCTATACTTCAGCGTGGAATCTACCGTTTTTCTTTTGTTTTCTCGACGGCATTTTCATCTTCCTGGAATCTATACTTCAGCGTGGAATCTATCGTTTTTCTTTTGTTTTCTCGACGGCATTTTCATCTTCCTGGAATCTATCGTTTTTCTTTTGTTTTCTCGACGGCATTTTCATCTTCCTGGAATCTATACTTCAGCGTGGAATCTATCGTTTTTCTTTTGTTTTCTCGACGTCATTTTCATCTTCATGGAATCTATTCTTCAGCGTGGAATCTATCGTTTTTCTTTTGTTTTCTCGACGGCATTTTCATCTTCCTGGAATCTATACTTCAGCGTGGAATCTATCGTTTTTCTTTTGTTTTCTCGACGGCATTTTCATCTTCCTGGAATCTATACTTCAGCGTGGAATCTATCTTTTTTCTTTTGTTTTCTCGACGGCATTTTCATCTTCCTGGAATCTATACTTCAGCGTGGAATCTATCGTTTTCTTTTGTTTTTCTGGACATTTCACTTCATTTCGTCTTCTTGGTTTATACTTAGTGATATCTCAACGACGATATCACATCTGCTGTCCATTTGATATCTTGACATCCTCGAATCTGTCGTTCTCATTTTGATATCTCGACGACAAGACAGTTATTTCTCTCGTGTACTCTCAAAGATATCAAATTTATCGTCTCCGAGGTGATATCTTCGTTATCATGTCCCATCTGGTACTCTGCTAGTCATATCTTTCGTTATATTAATTTCTCCACGAAAGCATTTCACTCATTGTCCTGTTTTTGATATCTTTACTTCAATAGATCTTTAACTTTATCGTTATCTTGTCTTGGGCTTGATATCTCCGTCAGATTTAGTTTTTTTCCTCATTTGTCGATATCAAGATCACATGTTTAATTTGTCAGATATCAACAGTTAATATCTTGACAACAGCAAGTATTTATCATTCATTTTGATATCAAAGAGAAGAACACATTTGAAGTCCTGATGATAACGGCGACATGTTATCTGCTGTTTTTTTTGTCTATCTTGAATATGATAACAGTACTTTCAAGATAACATATATTGTTATTTTCCCTCATGATAACCTTTCTCAGACTTTTCACACGTTTTGGTCACGATAACTTAAAGGCAATGCAATTCGTGTTATCTTTATCGGGATAACCTTTGAAACCATAATTAAGACGATAACTTCACGCTTGTTATACTTATCATGATAACTTAAAGAATACTCGTGATATCTAGTTTCAAATAAATACAGTTTCACACTTGTTATCTTACACCATGATAACTCCCTTAAGATATCACGATAAACTAGATGATATATTTACACCTTTTATCTTGCCCACTAGAACTTAAGATAGTATTTACACTTGTTATCTTACCCATGATAACTATTTATTTACACCCTTCGTCTCTCATCTCTTTAACATGATAATTTCAACAGCTGTTATCTTACATATGATATCTAAGACAGTATATTTACACCTGTTATCTTATGTGATATCTCGGACACAATCTTATCACAATTGTTATGTTGTTCATGATAACCTGAACACAATATTTCTTACTTTCAATAACTATGATAATTGTCTTACCTGTTATCATGTCTAGGATAACACAAAGTCTTCACAGGATACTTTTGCCTTGGCTGCTGTTATCCTGATCATGATAACTCAAGGTCAACATGTGTATAGGTGTTATCTTGCCTCTGGTAATAACTAAGATTACAAAGAACATCATATATCTTGACTATAACATTCTTAAATATGACACAATTACATCTGTCGCCTTGATTATAACACCTCAAGCGTGATAGTGACACGTGACACCTCGAGGACCACAGATTTATACCTTGAGAGAGAGAGAGAGAGACACAGAGAGAGAGAGAGAGAGAGAGGGGACAGAAAAACAGACAGACAACTAGACGCTATTAAAGAACTGTCGATTATTATGACAGCTGAAACACGTATGTACACCTGTCCTTTCTACAGTGAGAGACAGACGGAGTAAAGAGAGAGAGAGAGAGAGAGAGAGAGAGAAAAGAAAGATTGTCCTTCTTACATTCCATTTAAGCTGTGAGAATGAAGGAAGGTAATTGGCTACTAACACACACACCTGTTTCCTGGATACGTCTTATCCGTAAGGTCAGGGGGAGAGGGTCCAGCTAAATCCCAAAAGCTGTGAGAATGAAGTTAATCTTACAGGTATCTAGAATGATTCCTATCAGGGCTTGGCTTCACACAGGCTCTAAAAGTTTCCCCTGTTGGTGGTGATATAAGTAACGCATTTAGTATTCTCGGTGAACCTTCGATACTTCAAGATGGTAGTTGAGGGAGCGTGGAAATTACACTTTAGATTCTATTATGATTTCTAGGTGTGTTTTCGTGAACTCAGGTGACCTACGAGAGAAGGTCTGCCCAGTAATGGTATGTTAAGGGTAAAGGTCAAGTAAGGTGTATGGTGACCCTGTATTGACCTCACACCGCTGTCATGCCCCTCGTGATTTTGTTATCTCCAAAGTGTTTCATTAACCACTTGGCACCTTTGCTCCGTGGCGGTACTCTGATCACCGTCTTTACGCTGTCCTTACTCGACGCTGATGATGACGACGACGATGACGATGACGATTTCGAGGATATATTCGTGAGTCGTCGATTTTGGATAGACTGGTGTGACGCTAGTTTAAGTCCCTGTGTTAGTGGTGCGGCGGGGTTAACCTGAACACCTGTCACCCTCCCTAACACACCTCCTTTGGCGTCTTTCACCTTCAGGTTTTGCTTTTTCAGTGGTGACCTCATGACGGAAGACAAGTTGGGGAGGAAGGACTTCTTGGGTGGAAGAGGAGCAGTGGTGGGTAGTGACGTCGCCTCCCACTTGTTCTCCTGGTGGGGGTGAGACTCTGAGGTCCTGGAAGTGAGAGAACATCTGGAGGGGCTGGGTGACGCTGGCCGAGACCCACACGGGGAGGAGGTCCGTAAGGCGCCTCCCGTCGTGTAGTGTCCACCTGGTGAGAGTACAACACACTGTAATATACATCCCACAATATACCACTTTATTATCACAGGTATAAAAGGTAATTATTAGGGACGTGACCGTTCGCTGTTTTTCATTGAAAGTGTGTTTAAAATACCACGTTTTCAATGATTTTATGAGGGGATACTGTATTATGTTGTGGAAAACTATAACATGGCTGAAATGAAGTGCTAATTTAACCTAACCTATTTCTTTACTCTTCTATGTCTAGAAAACTAATCATTTATACAAGAAAATTAATAAAAGTGAAAGTAATCAGCGCACAAAACTGTGTTTAAGAACTACCCCCATAATTACCGAACAGCTGACGGCCACGTCTCGGGAAGCTAAACCCCGCCACTCACAACAAGGAGCAGTACAAGAGATGAGAGGAGGAAGTGTGGGGTGTGAACTTACTGTGTCGGGGTGTCCTGGGCGGAGTGACGTCAGGCAGGAAGTGGTGCCACGGGTTGTACACTCCGGGGCCGATGTGGCTGAGGGAGGAGGTGGAGCGTGGTAGGGGCACAGGGTGGCAGGTGAGGGGCGAGGTCTCCGAGCTAGGCAGGTAGGTCCAGGTGCCAGAGTCGAGGGAGGCGTCCCTGCTGGTGAGGGGTGGGGGTCTCAGGGGAGGGGCGTGTTGAGGGAGGTGTTGAGTTTGCCCTGGACGAGGCTGGCGTCGCTCACCGCTGATTGAAAGTTCTGGCTCACTGGAGTAATCCAGAGGAAACATACCTGGAATTCGGTCTCTTGGTAGGTCTGGAAGCTCAGGTTGACTGGAAATCCAGCCTGGTCTGCTGTAAGATAAACCGTATTCTTTGAGGCCCTCGTGAACGTTCCCGAAGTGATCATAGATGTGAGACTTAACGTAAGCTGAGTACTGCTTGAAGGTGGCGTCTTCAAGTGACTTTGGACATCTCACCTGCGCCAGGAGCACCTCAGGGTCGTAACAGAATTTTGAAGAGGGACAGTTAGGTAGGCGACTGGTCGCGGGATCTTTAGGCTTTGTGTGTTTATGAGTTTCTTCAGCACCTTTCTTGGCCTGCCAGTGATCCCAGTAAGTCTCCTTTAGGTCAAGACAACTCTCACCGAGGTAGACACTCTCGTTACTGGCTCTACCCTTAATAAGAGACTCAAGTAAGTCCATCTCTATGTAGTCTGAGACATCTGAGGCTTGTGAGAGTCTCTTTTCCAGGAAGGTGGACCCTCGTCGCGTTCTGACGGGGCCTCGCCCGTAGCCGTACACCAGCGGCCGCTTGAGTGTTTCCATGGGCTGCACGTCACAGTCGATATCTATGAAATCATCGTCGTCACCTTCCTCGTTTATTGTGGGTGTTGTGTTCTTACTTCGGCGGAGAGAATCATCAGAGTGTCCCCGGGACGCTGAGTAAACACTACCATCGTCTATCTTGTCTTCCTCTTCTTTCAGGTAGCCGCTGACCTCACCCTCTGGTGAGTCGTAATCATCTTTCTCATAATACTTCTCATCAAAGCACACACTACCGCTGCTAGCAGACAGTGGCCGTGACCCTGACGCAATCTCTTCTGTGGGGGTGTCACCACCCTCGGGATCATCATCATTATTGTCAAGAGATAACACCGTCAGATCTTCTCTTGATTCACATTCATCCTCATCGTCTGTTTTACTCTCAGGTACATCAGGATCTCTCACCTTATTGTCTGTAATATTAACAAGTGTTAACCCGTTCCCACTCACATCTTTACAGTCAACAGTTAAATCCAGAGACAATATACAAACCGAGGTTAAATTTACATTGTTTTCAGGAAATGTGTCGTCATGGATGTCTTCGTGTTGAGGAGGACTCGTCTGTGTATCCTGAAAGAGTCCTGGAGGCAGTGGAGGAAGGATGGGTGAGGTGGCTGTAGAACTTATGGTCCCAGAGCACCAGGAGGTCCTACTTGACACACCTCCTCCGAGCCAGTCCTCGGCCATCTCCTCTAGTCCTTGATCTCCAGCCAACAGCATCGAATACGACTCCAGCTTTAGATTATCCAGTGGTAAGTCTGAGTAAATCTTCTGTTTGTCACCTGTTGGAACCTGTGAACAAGCTTCCCGTTTACAGCCAACATTAGGAACCTTTGAACAAGTTACCTGTTTTGGGATAAATGTTGGAAGCTGTGAACAAGTTTCCCATTTTGGATCATCTGTTTGGAAGGGAGAACACTTGTATTGTGTGTGGTCAACGGAATCTAACAGGGTACGTGCTTCCTGTTTACATCCAACAGTTGTTACCTGTCCCCGTTCCTTCTGTTTAGAGTCAATAGTGGGTATTTGTGAAGTTGTCTCCTGTTTCGGTTCAACAGTTAGTATCTTTGAACGGGGTCTCTGTGTGGTTCCATTAACGGGGAGGCGTGAGCGTGTCTCCTGTTTCATAACGAGAGTTGGTAGATGCGACCGTGAGTCCTTTTTTAGATCAACAGATACCCCCTGTTGCTGGCCTCTCCGTTTGCGGTTAACAGTGGGCACCTGAGACCGTGTATCCTGTTTCAGACCAACGGTGGGGATCTGTGAAAGCTTCTCGTTTTTCTCTCCAACAGAAACCACTTGTGTTCGTGTCCTCTGTTTAGAGTCAACGGTAGTGGAGCCCTGAGCCTTTACCTTCTGTTTAGGGTCAATGGTAGTGGAGCCCTGAGCGCTAGCAATTAATGAACGGGTGTCTTGACTTTTACCAACACCTTGAATTCGTGTCTTCCTTTTAGAACTAACAGTAGGTACCTGATGGCGTGCTCCCTGTTTGGTGACAACAGAGGAGAGCTGATCGGGGGCATTGGTATGGGGAGGAGTCGTCGGGGAGTCGTGGGTTGGGGGGTGAAGCTGCGGTAGACTCTGGTAGTGGAAGGGCACCTGGTCCACCACCTCACCTGTGGGAACAAAACAAACACGACGTTAGTACTCTCTCTCTCTCTCTCTCGATGGTGTTAATATAAAATGAAATACAGACATTTACAAACACTACGTAAGGGGTAGAGAAATAGGTGTATGTGAACTGCCGGTGACCTTTGACCCATCACACTTCACCTTAAAATGACACATCTACGGTTCCTGTGTGTGTGTGTGTGTGTGTGTGATAGAGGCTTTTTGAATCAGGTGTGTTTATGGCTACAGGACGACTGAGTAACGACACTTTATGGTGACACATATGCTATGTCCGGTTCTTCCTCTGGCGCTATGTGTTGGGGGGTGGGGGTGTGTGGGTGTGGGGGTGTGTGTGGGTGTGTGTGTGGGTGTGTGTGTGTGGGTGGGTGTGTGGGTGTGTGTGTGGGGTGTGTGTGTGTAATAATCTAATGCTTATCTCCAGAGGATATATGCATGTGTACACTCCTCGAATATGTATGAGTGTGCCTATGTATACCGTGTATGTAGATGTTTGGTTATAGTTTTTATCGAGTCTACGTATATGGTGTGTATATGGATGATTTATATAGCCATACATGTACGTACACACACGTAGACAGTAAGTGTATGAACGTGCACACTCAGTTCCATGTACGTGCGAGAAGCCTTTGCAGACATGTGTAGGCGGGGTGCATGACTCACTGTGTGGGGGGCAGGAGGGGGTCGGTGAGGGGGGCCGGGCCTGCCTTGCACCCCAGAAGGAATCGCCCTGGTGGTTGGCGGCTGCGGGTTGGTGGCGGTAGAGGGCGGCGGCGGCGGCTGGGTGGCGGTGTTGGGAGGCGGCTGCAGTCTGTCCCGCCCACTTGTGCCTTAACCCAAGCCATCTTCCCCCCCACTCCTCCTCCCGGTCACCTGCAAGACAACACCACTACGTCACACGTCTGGCAAGATAAACGACTGTGTTTACTCTTGCTGGCTGACCAATCCTGGACGATTTCACGGACTGCTGCCACTGTTCATTATTGGCTGTTGACCTGAGGAGTAATTATCACACACACCTTTCTTAACATTACTCTATTAAGGCGGTGATGATCAACCATTAGAGTTGATAATACTATAATAACAAACAATAACAACAACAATAATACTCAGAAGGTCATCAGAGACACCAACGTCATATTAAAAGCTTGGGTTAAGAATGACCTCTGACCTCCCAAAGCGCTTCGGGTCATACTCAAAGGTCAACGAGAGTTTTACAGTCAGATTGTTGAAAAGTGTTTTAATTGTACGTGACTGGTGGCAATTAGAGGTCACAGGTCGAGTTAGTTAAGTCAGGTGTCGTGTGCTGTGACCTGCCTACACCACACACACACACACACGCTCGGGACTTTAACGTGACCTTTCCTTGTATGCAAAGTCCGGGTTATGATCTTTATCGCGAGGAACTAGACATTCATAATAGGTGTATATTTGTATGTCTGTCTGTGTTTACGTGTGTCTGTCTGTCTGTGCCCGTGTCCTGTGAGAGAGAGAGAGAGAGAGAGAGAGAGAGAGAGAGAGAGAGAGAGAGAGAGAGAGAGAGAGAGAGAGAGAGAGAGACCACCACTGAGCAAACTTCCCCATTGGTCACCTAGGCTGTCCTGACCTAGTCATCAGTGACGTCATCTTCCGTCGCACCTCAATGCCTGGAACTGACGTAATATCCGATAACATGACGTCACATCCGATCTTGCCATATCGTGATTGGTCATGTAACTGAATCATTATCTTAACGTGTTGATGTAGATGTATGTGGCGTCTCTCTCTCTCGATTTCTTAGGGAGGGAAGGTAAGGTGAGGGAGGGGGCGGGGAGAGGGGGACGTTGAAGGTCAAGGGGGTAGTACAATATCACGGTATTTAGTAGTTTAGATGGTGTGGGGGCGGTATTGGCAGTGGAAGGTGTGGGGGGCGTGTATTATTGGCAGTGTGGAAGGCGTGGGGGGCGTGTATTGGTGTGGAATATGTGGGGCGTGTATTGCAGTGTGGAAGGCGGGGGCGTGTATTGGCAGTGTGGAAGGCGTGGGGGCGTGTATTGACAGTGTGGAAGGCGTGGGGGCGTGTATTGACAGTGTGGAAGGCGTGGGGGCGTGTATAATATGAGTAATATTAGATCAAGGTGTTATTATTATTACCCTGTGTGCGTTATAATTAAGTTAATATACCTATACTGTCTTGTAAATACCTCACTCATCATCATCAATCATCATCATTCATCATCAATCATCATCATCATCACTACCACCACCACCACCACCACCATCCCTCTTCAAATCTGTGTTATAGATGAGAAACAGTCGTCTTTAGAGAGGGTCAATACCTGCTGAGACGTGACCACTTGCAAGAGTATAACACCGTCTGTCTGTCTGTACACCTGTCCTACCTGGTATAGCTTTAACCTCTGACCTCTATTACCTCAAATGTCTCTTTAACCTCTACAGTGATATATTCCTTTAAATTGGATGTTGGATTACGTTAATATTATCTACTGTTTCGTTGTGTTGATGTTTCTTCAGACGATTTAATCACAATAGTGAGGTCTCGGTGTAGGGGGTTGAGGTGGGGTGGTGGTAGAGGGTCGTCAAGGTGAAGGGGTTAAGGTGGGGTGGTGGTAGTGGGTCGTCTAGGTGAAGGGGTTAAGGTGGGGTGGTGGTAGGGGGTCGTCTAGGTGCAGGGGTTAAGGTGGGGTGGGGAGCTGGGGAGGGGGGATCGTCCAGGTGCAGGGGTTAGGGTGGGGTGGGGAGGGGGGATCGTCCAGGTGTGTTGTCTGGCTGAAGGCGCCCAGCTGACGGCCAACCCACCACAGAAATTCGGTATTGTCATGACATCCAGATTATCACGACACGGATATAGTCTCTTTATCTAGACTGGTATTTTATAATGGACATGTTAAAGCTTGGAGGAAGGGGTGTAGAGTGGTAATGGGGAGAGGGAGGTCACGTAAGTTATACCCAGGGCATTGGTTACCCTTATCTTATGAACACTCACTCAACTCACACACAAACTAAAGGCAACAATACTATCAGATGTTACTATTACGTCGATATTCCCTAAAAGTTTATATATAACCTAATTACTTTATAAATACTTTCAGAGAGGACATATGGCTTATTATATCGCCGTAAAACGTGAATTGGTTCCCTATTTATCGCCACAAATAGAGAAAAATATACCAATTCCATCTCAACTTTATCTCCATCAACTTGTAAATACTGTCTCATAAATTTACATAGACAGTGATGGTAAATTATAAGGTATCACGTGTGTTAACTTCTTGTGACGGCTGTGCGTGAGGTGCAGGCCCCCACCTGGCTGGCGCCGCGGGGTTGAGTCGAGACATTAATGTTTCAGGCGAGAGGGAGGGTTAAGGCGACACACTGCCGCAGAGCAACACGTACATATATCTTTCTTCAGAGTTCAGATACCCATGAATAGTGCGTTCCCCATTAGTTTCATGTGTAGGTATGTGAGGTTAAGTTAGTTTAGGTCCTAACATCCTCTTGTTCGTTTGATTCATTGGCCCTCTCAATCCCGGGTTAATACGGCCATAGCAAAGTTGTTTATCGTTAGTATTGTTGACTCGACCTGTGGCATTGCTCTAGCTGCTCTCATCAGGTTTGCTCTAAAGATGTGATTCTGACGTAAATTATAGAAATGTTTCATCGTCTTCGTGTTAGATATTGAAAGAGACAAAACCAGTGTGGTGTAGTGTGTGTGTGTGTGTGTGTGTGTGTGTGTGTGTGTGTGGTGTAGTGTGTGTGTGTGTGAAGTGGCTGCGTGACTCCTCTACACAATTCATCCCAACAGCTGGACTTGTCTAACATTAATGAATAAATTATCCTTCCCCCTCCCTCCCCACAGGAGGACCATCGTGGCACGATTTGACCTCTGACCCGAGCTGAGGTCAGAGGCAGAATATTGGGGTGTTGTTAAATCGAGTTGAACCGGACACCCATCCCGGATTTACAGGTTCTTGGGAAATATTCAGGTAGTAATACACTATAATATTCAACCCCTTGATGCCTCAAATATCACCTCCAGGATCTTTAATTTATTCTAATATTAAGTATATACAATATTCATACAATATACTGTATTATAAAACAGAGGAATACAATATAGATAAGGTTTAAGACAGATAAAAATGGAAAAGCTTAACGAGTATAGATGTCAAAGCTCCCAGCCTTGTGTGTGTGTGTGTGTGTGTGTGTGTGTGGTGAGTGATAGGATGACATGAGACGTGTGAGTGGCATGTAATTTTCGCTTCACCTGTTGGTCTCGTCCACACACACACCACTTCGCTTAACCCCGACCCTTAGTTACAATGCTCTACCTAACTCTCGCTTAATCCGACTCTTGTACCATACTAACCCCCTTATTTCGGACTCTTATTAACCCTCCCTCCCCCACCTTAAAAAAATAATTTAACCCAGATTATTACCGAATGAAAATGGTGGAGGGGAATTATCATTTTATTTTTCGTGTTAGTGTGAAATAAAATTAATATTCAGTGTGCGCGCGCGCGCGCGCGCGTGTGTGTGTGTGTGTGTGTGTGTGTGTGTGTGTGTGTGTATTTTTCCACATTTAGCCAACCCTCTCTATAACGGACTTTCTTCCATATAATCCGCTAAATAGAGGTGCCACTGGGCTTACATATATTTCGAGGGGTTATTTCTACACTGTGAGGAATAATCTATCTCTTTTTTTAAATTGCAACACAGAAACTAATGGAAAAAGCTTACTAACACCAACTGTTTCCACCACACTAATTGTCACACTGTGTTCCAGGGTTAAAATATAACTTAACCTAAACTAACCTAATTTAACCTAATCTAATATAGCATAACCTAACCTGATCTAGAAATAATAAGCTAGAATGATAAGGAAAATTAGAGGATAAAGAGTGAGGCAGACTACAGACAGACAGACAGACAGACAGACAGACAGACAGACAGATCATGGATAATATATAAATAATCCTAAAATAAATATAATAATAAAAAATAAAACCACCATTTGCCCTTAGAGACACACAGCCATCAGAGTAGTGAGGAAATGTCGTCTGCTTGACCATTTTAACTTGTGTGTCTAAAATACTGATAGAGATTTGAATTCTCTATAACCTTATCTACACCACACCCTTCATAAATAACAAATTAATAACAGCCAGTGATAATGAACAAATAACTGCCAGTGAATGAACCAAATTCCTCACTGTAAAAAAAAAACTGAAAATATACTAGGGAAAAAATATACTAGGGGAAAAAATATACTAGGGAAAAAATATACTAGGGAAAAAATATACTAGGGAAAAAATATACTAGGGAAAAAACACCTATTAATATTTTTTTTTTCATTTTTTTCCTCAAACGAAGGAAAATTTATGAGGAAAAATCTCTCCCACGTATACCAGAGATTTTCCTCACTTTGCCTCACATGGAGATAAAAATTAACAATATTTATCTCTCGGTCTCCACACACAGAGGCTGGGTGTGTGGATTATGTAACTCTATATTAATTTGTATTAATTTTATATCTTTTTTTTTCTGTTGTGATAGATGTGTTTTATGGTGTTTATCTTTCTTGTATTTATTTTGTCTTGGTTTTTTTTTTTTTGCATTATTTATTCATTTGGTATTTTTATCTTATTTAATTTGTCTTTATATTATTCATTTATTTATTCTTGCGTTTCTGTCTCATTTGATTCAATTTTGTGTTTTTCTACCTTATTCGTTTTGCGTTTTTTTTTCATTTATTTATTAATTTTTTTTAACTTTATTCATTACTTATCCTTGTCTTTCTCTACCTTATTCATCCATTCATCCATTTCTCTACCTTATTCATCCATTCATCCATTTCTCTACCTTATTCATCC